ATGGTACCCTACAAACTTTTTTCCTACATTTTTCAATACATAAGAAAATAAAGGTTTCCTTACCCTGCTACAAAATAACTTCGTAAGAAGAATTCCAGAGAGAATTTTTAATCTCTTCTACTATGGTTTTTTAAGATAATCCTTATTACTGTCTTACTGCTTTACATTCTAATTCATTATGCTTATGCAAATGTAAGAAAAAAGTTGTATACCATAAATGGAAGGAATTACCTAGAGATATCAATAATTATATTAACTAAAATAGTCTTACAGTCTCTTCTACAGTTCATTCATTACTCACTTCATGAGGTATAAAAAGGAGTAATGGCCCCACTTTACAAAATTGAAGGAAATCTGTACAGTAATTTTCCTGAATCCAAGTCTCAGGTTAGGTTGAAATAGAAATCCTTTCTCTCATGCTACTATGACTGTTCACGTACAGTCTTTGTGGGCAAATACCTATAAGTGGAATGAATGGCTGGCTCATATAGTGGGTATATGTTTAGCTTTTTAAAAAATGGCTTTTTAAAAAAGCTAAAGTAGTTGTTTTCCAAAGAAGTTGTATCATTTTACATTCCCAACATGCTGTCAGTCAGCAGTCGAATATCCTTAATGCTGCCCTGTAAGCACTGCTGCACTGACCAGCCATAAGCCTGGCTCCTGGCTGAGCGACCCTCCCCCTGTGGGAGCACACTGACCACCAGGGGGCAGCTCCTGTGTTGAGCATCTGCTCCCTGGTGATCAGTGCATGTCATAGCAACCGGTTGTTCTGCCATTCAATTGATTTGCATATTAGTCTTTTATCATATAGGATACTGCAGTGAGCATGGGGTTGCTTCAAATATTTCTTTGAAGTTTAACTGCTTTCACACATGATGGAGCTTCGTTTTTGCAGCATTTTAATATATATATATATATATATATATATATATTATTGATTTTTTTACAGAGAGGAAGAGAGAGGGAGAGTTAGAAACATCGATGAGAGAGAATCATTGATCAGCTGCCTCTTGCACACCGACTACTGGGGATGTGCCCACAACCCAGGTACATGCCCTTGACCAGAATCGAACCTGGGACCTTTCAGTCCACAGGCCGACTATCTACTGAACCAAACCGGTTTCGGCCGTTTTTGCAGCATTTAAATATTCAAGTGTTCAAAAATTGAACAACTATTGCATGCCAGGTTCTGTGCTGGCCATTAGGAAGAGGATCCTTAGTATGCTCTAAAGGAGTATAGCTGTTTTGGCTAAGTGGTTATAGCGTCAACCTTTGGACTGCAGGGTCCCAGATTTGACTTCTGTCAAGGGCAAATGCCCGAGCTGCAGACTCAATCCCCAGTGTGGGGCCTGTAGGAGGCAGCTGATCAATGATTCTATCTCATTATTGATGTTTTTCCCTCTCTTTCTCTCTGAAATCAATAAAAATATATTTTAAAAAGTACACAGACATGAACCTGACCCTGCTAAAGTTTTATCATCTTACTGAGGTATTTTAGTACAAGAGTTAAAAGCATAGGCTCAGGGTTCTATAAGCTTGGATTTGAATCTGGCTCTGCTCCTGACCTGTCGGTAGACCTTGGAAAACTTCATTAACTTTCCTAAGCCTATTTATTCATCTGTAAAATGAGATATTAATAGATACCTCATAAGATTGCTGTGAGAATTAAATGAATTAATACCTTTAGTCCTTATAACAGGGCTTGGCACATAGTAAATGATCAATAAATGTGAGCTATTTATTATTAGAGAGCAGGATTAGTTCTTCACAGGGTAAATCCACAAATGATTGGGAAGGAAACATTAACAAGCATGAGAAGTAGTTTAATTTAGCGACTAAGCACAGAGGCGCTAGTGCCAGCAAACCTAGGTTAAAACCTTGTTCTGCTGTGTACTGGTCCAGTGCTTGGAGCCACGCCCGTAAGGTGTTTAGCATCGCTTTTTGGCACACAGGATACTTAATGCACAATTGTTGACTATGTATGTTGAAAAGCCGTAACATCGCCAACCCCTGTTCATCACAATAATAACAGCTGCTATTTATTACTGTCCAAATGTTCTCTTTTATGTTTCTTAATCTAGTGAGGCAAGCATCATCAACCCCACTTCGTGGTAAGGAACCAGATCATCTGTGTGTAACTGTGACCAGCGGGAGGTTGGAGGCTTAGTAAGTGGTGGCTTGGAATCCAACCCGACCAAACCAGGGTTCCAAGTGGCCTCTGTCACCAGGGGGCCCTCCGCCTCTCGCAGATGGCGCCAGGAGAGGCAGCAGTCGGCCAGGCCGGAGCCATGGCCGCCCCATGGAGCCCCTACCTCGAGGAGCCTGCCCGGCGAGGCCTTCGCCATCACCTTCCCTCTCAGGTAGCCCGGAGCAGCAGAGCACGTGAGCCAAGGCCAAGCCCCGAGGAAGGATGGGCGCCGTCTCCTGGCAACGAGCGTTACGTCACTGAAGTGCGACGGTCGCGCGCCGAGCCGCCGCCGCAGCCCGTCGCCGCCGCCGCCGCCGCCGCCGCCGCCGCCTCCGGGCCTGAGTGACGGGCGGGGCGGCACCTGTGCCCCCGGAAGCGTGATGCCTTGAACCTGGGTGAGCTCCGTAGCGCCGTCCTTTCGTCGTCGTCTCCCGTCCGCCTGCTCCGCGAACCTGAGGCTGAGACTGGAACCCCGGCCAGGCCTCGACTGCCGAGCCGGGCTCCAGTGGGAGCCGCCCTTCCAGGTCCGGCGGAGGGCGCGGAGCCGGCCTGGGAGGCCCTGCGGCGATGCACCGGCTCTGTCCCGGCCGTTTCCGATGGCCTGGTGTGGGAGGTGCTTGTCCCGTTTTGGGGAGAGGATCTGGGGGAACTGGAGAGAGAGCTTTTCCTTCTCGAGCCCGGAGCCGCTTTTGAATATTGCCGCCTGCGCAGTCTGTCGGGTAGCGGACTTGGCTGTTGGTTAAAAGCTCCAAGTTCAAGTGCGCTTGAGGAGGGGCCGAGGCGGCGGGGGCGGCGTGTTTGGTAAACACACCGATAATGTGGAAAACCACGTGTGCCCCGCCGCCCCGGACATCCCAGATTAAAATCCCTCTGCCTTGTGACCCTAACTCGCACGGCCAAGCCAAGCCGATCCACTTAGCGTAGCTGGCCTTCCATTTCCAAATTAGTTTAGGCTGCTGCTCTTCCCAAAGGTCCGTCCTGGTTGAACCAACTACTTTGAGACCAGGCTAAGACAAAACGTTTCCTTGCTAATAATGCATGTTTTTTGTATGTTTGCTGCAAAATGTGGACCTGTTATTCAAATCCATCCCCAGCGCCTTTATTTTAATTGCAGTGTACGCCCATATGCTGACCCTGCATAGAGTTATTCTTTTCCACCCCCCTCCTTCCGTTCTTACTGTTATGAAGTGAGCTCCCTCCATTCAGAATTTCATCTGGGGCATCTGGGCCAAGACCCTAAATGAGTCCCCTGCTCTATTGAAGTCGCCTCTCTAAGAAGTGATTCTTTCTGAACTCAAAAATAGTGTGGATTTTTCCCCCCTCTTTGATGCTGCCTGGCTGTCATTTCTAAATTATTTCCTCCTCAGTATAATTGTAGATTTCCAAAAATACGTTCTTTGTCATTTCTTGTAACTGAACTTTGTATTTGATGTGTGTAGCCCCATCTTACTTAGTTCACTTACAAACACCTAGTGCATTTAACCTTACCCGTCTGCCAAAACAGGTAAGGTCCAGAGAGGATTCTTACAAGTCTAGTTAGTGTATTTTTCCAAATACGTATGTAATGTATTTAGTAAACATATTGATACTCTCAGAAATCAGTATTCTTAATCTCGAAGTACTCTCCTTTTGTAGTTTTTCTTTTTATAAAAATTTTTCTTCAGAACAGGCATTTCAGACTCTATAGTGACTCTAATTTGTTTCACTGCATATCTGTTGTAATTGCTGTTAATTTCTTATCTTGCAGAACAGCTTGCAGATACAGAGGTTGAGTAAGGAATGAGTAATAAAAGTGTATCCTTAGGGACCTAGTTTTTAGTGCTTAGTTTTTATCACTGATGTGTGTGTTTTTTAATTACTGACCTCATGATGAAAATAATTATTTCAATTACATATAGGTATTTTCTAAATACTATAGTATTTGTGGATTAGTAATTTTGTTGCACTTTCAGAATTTTCAACTTTTCTTTAACCCTTTTATGAATGGATATGGTTTAAATTTCACCGGATGTTTTTGGGTTGGGCTGGGTTTGGGCTTGGGGGTTGGTTTGTTGGTTTTGCCAATTGCCCATGATGTGATTTTATATCTTTATAAAGGATATTTGAACTACAACAATTCACTTGTTAGAAAAAGAAGTGATCAAGTGTATATTACCACCCACTCAAGAATGTGGCATTTTTGGAATCCTTGATATTCTTGTATTTCAGAATAACAGTTCTTTATTTTTAAAATCTTCCAAATGTTTTTTGAAAGCACATTATTCTGCTATCGAGAACTAAATTGTAGGTGGCACAGTAGTATGAGAGCTGCTAGTTCTTTGAGAAATCTTGACCAGAGATTTGTCTTTTGCTGAATTCTATGCCAGGTGGTTTGCAAATTATGTTCCCATGCAATACTACTATTCCAGAATAGGGGTGGGTAACCTTTTTTCTGCCAGGGGCCATTTGGATACTTATAACATCATCAAGGGTCATACAAAATTATCAACTTAAAAATTAGCCTGCTATATTTGGTCAAACATTTAATTAACTCACCCCTAAGGCCTCGGCAGGACCAAACCAAATGATTTTGTGGGCCTTATACAGTCCTGGGGCCGGATGTTCCCCACACCTGAGCTATAATAGAAGGAAGGCTAATAGCAAAATATTAGCTCCTGAACTCAAATGTATTTCCTAGTTTTTCTTTTATTTTCTTGAAGGGGTGGATATATTGCTGTTTTTATATTACATATTATAACTTTTATATATCTATATTTAACAGAAACTATGTGAAACAACACTCTTTGGGGATTTCAGAAGACATCATTTCATCATGGGACAACAGATTTCGGATCAGACACAGTTGGTTCTTAACAAGTTACCAGAAAAAGTAGCAAAACATGTCACATTGGTTCGAGAAAGTGGCTCCTTAACTTACGAAGAATTTCTTGGGAGAGTAGCTGAACTTAATGATGTGTAAGGCTTGCTCTTTTTCATTTTATTTTCCTGCTTATGTATGGCCCACATGTCATGACTGTTATGAGAGGTAATCAGAAGTATTGATGACTTAATGTTTTCAGCAGCAGTTAGCAAATATTTATTGAATACATATTATAAGACTTTCTATGTGGCTATTTTAAAATATGTAATAAGAACAAAAGAGATTGAAGGAACATAAAATTAAATTTTAAACACAGGCATATAAATTGTTCTTGTTTGAAAGCACTAAAGAAGTACATAACGAGAGTATGCCAATTAGCCACTCTGGAGGAAGGCTCCCAGGATAGTCCTTGGGCACTCAGGTTTCTGTATATCAGCCAGTTCATCTGGTTAATTAATAAATCTTCTGTGTTTGTTCGCAGGGCTATTGTTTTACCAGAGAAATACACATATAGTAATAATTCATTTATCATCACAGGAGAATAAGATATTTTGGTTATTAATACATTCTAATTAGCTAACATCTTCAAATCTTTATTTAACTCTTGAATAGATCAATGTTTTAAATGGAGTATACATTTTTCTACCTTAATGAGCATATTTAATAGAATTTAGTCTTTTTGTTTGTGAATTCTTTATTATATCAATTTTTATACCAATCTATTATAGCAGTTATTAAAATACATAGGGCTCTTTGTCCCTAAATGGCCCCAGATTGTTATGCTTTAAACATTGCTTTTTCTTTCTATGTTTTCTCCCCTAGTGACAGATGAGCAGATGTCACTTCCTTCTATTAAGTCTTTTTGTGGCAGCACCTATAAATATATGTATATCTTCTGTATTTCTTAGCATGTAATTATGAAATTGCCTTTTAAATAAGATCTTAAAAGTTCTCTCTTAAGTCTATTCAATTTAGCTAACATTCACTGAACCCATAGTTGTGTATAAGGCACTGTGCTAAGGGTTGGACATTTTAACTGAAGCCTAAAATGATTGCCCAAGGATTAATGGCAGATTCAGCTCTCCCTACGTATGAATTTTTTTTCATTAACCCACTTTAACTATCTCACTCTAACCTCTCTTTACACCGTGAAAAAGCCAATCAAAATCACCATGCAGTCTGTACCCACTTAGTCTAAATATAAACTATGAACAGTCCTATTCATAGTTTAGGGCAGGGTACATGAACCTGTTCCCTAGCTTTGTGATGGCTGAATTGGTTGATAAGAAACATACTGGGCTATGTGGAACACATTTAGATAAAGAAAAGGAAATACAGTCTTTTTATGGACATGACTAGAGTCTACTGTTATTAGCCAGTCATGAAGAATAAAGAATGTCTTAGAAGTTAAAGTTATTTTAGAAGATCATTTCTTTTAAGAGCACTGGATTTTGTTTTGTTCTTAAAGTCCTGTACATTTATATGGGTGGATCCTGTGTTGTTATATATGTAAATACATAGAAGAAGAGCTAGGAGGCTGCATACTGGGTCTCTGGGGAGTCAGTGGAAACAGGGAGGGGGGCATCAAGGGAGATTTTACATTTTACTGTGTGTCTGTGTATTGTCTGATCTTTTATAATAAAAATGTAGCCACAGTTTTTAAAACTTTAGCATCCCTTTAGAGTATTAGAACTTATGTAAACCTAGTCTATTATAACAAAATTTTGCCTTTTCGTCTAAAGATACTGAATAAAATGTGTCCTGTGAAAGCATTCACAAGCTAAGTTTACTGTGTAATACAGAGGTGATGGTAAAGAGTATCTTCTCATTTATTTAGCACAGAAATTTTCTTGACTGGATTTGGTTCATAAAACTAATTTTCACGGTCAGAGTTGGGCATTCGTAAGTGCAGTGCTATCTGAGAAATAAAGCTAAACCTATATAGATGAAGCATGGCTTGATAGCTAGAAAACAACTGGGAACTGGCATAGTTGAATTACATTCCCTGACAGATTTTGTTACCTCAAGCTAGTTGCTTTCTTTCAGTGGCCTCAATTTATTTAGGTGTAAGTCACTTAATTCTGGGTGTGATATCCCCATTGAGGCACAGACAGAAATGTGACTAATGATAGAAGGAAGCAGTAATATTTAAGTATGACTTTGAACTGATTTAAATTAGCATTGATGGTGATATTATTCTCTAAAAGTCATATTTTTATGTTAGACTCCTGTGGCTCTCTAGATGAAAATTCCTCTGCCCTGGGAAGCTATTTTAAAGTGTCTCAAAAGCATTTGCTTGATCCAGTCCTCATTACCTAAAAACTTTTTCCCCAAAGTGATGTGTTAGTATTGTTGCTTAAATAAGTATTCATCCAAAAGCAAGATTTTTTTTCTCTCACACTTTATGTACATTGAGGCAGTAATCAAATTTGGATAAGTGAAACCAGCTTGGTTTTTCTTTTCAATATCTGTTTCCTTGGATATGTTTTTCATGAATGTCTTTGTTAAAAATTTAAAGTCCATTAAGATATTAGATATGACAAACAGATTTATAAATATCACTCCACTATGCTTGTTGACTTTAAAACCCTTGGAAATTAAGTTGTATGTTTAATCAAAACTTTCTCTATCCCTGTGTTTTAAGAATCTAATTATTACAATCATTATTGTTATTTGACTTCGTGTTTTTTCTTCAAAAATTTTCTCTGATTTAAAGTATTGAATCTAGTTTTATTATTCAATTATTTTATATGACTTTTCATAAAATAAATGTGTTTGTCTCTTTTCAGAACCGCTAAAGTGGCTTCTGGCCAGGATAAACATCTTCTCTTTGAGGTACAACCAGGGTCTGATGCCTCTGCCTTTTGGAAAGTGGTTGTACGGGTGGTATGTACCAAGGTGAGAGTGATGGAGACTTCTAATGCAGAACTTGAATTATTTTGGTGGTTAGAACCACATTTAATTGTGTAATATAATATGATTAAAATAAATGTTAATAATTTGATTATAATTAACTATTTAAAACATAGTTTTGGTACTGCTATTACCTTCCAGGTTAACGGAATCACACTGGTTGTATAATTACTATATAGCAGAGATTTTTATAATCAAGAAAAGTGGTAGTAAACCCTCTACCTCTCTTTTTATATTTAGCTAGTTATGTAATCTTAAGGCGACACCTGCATAACTCTAAGATGACTCCTTAAAAATTAGTTATCTTAGGAGATCATTTCTTTTAAGAACACTGGGTTTTATTTACTTAATAACTTTTAAATCCATTAGAAAGGTTTGTGTGTGTGTGTGTGTTTGTTTGTTTTAGTAATTTTTAATTATAGAATGAATTTTTTACCATTAATACACTGTCTTAGTTCATCTTTAAATTTTAGATAATTGAGTATATCAACTGTGTTGAAAATATAATAACTGCTGTCATAGAGTATTAGGAAGCCTCAGCCACCAATGGGTAGATTTGAATAGATGGTTTTTAACCTTTGTGAGGCCACAGAACTTTTGGTGAAAATAAAGGAACAAATTTTATTAGGCCTTCTCATATCCCAGCTCCTACTCTACAACAAACAAATGATGAAATCATCCATGTGCATATAAACAGTAAATTGGGCATTCATGAGTGCCCTGAAGTCCATTCCTGACCAACCCATAAAGAATTCGTGGGTAAGCAGATGTTTTCCTTTTGTATCACAATCAGCAAAGGCTATACATTCTGTACCCACTTCACCCCCTAATCTTATTTTTCCCAATTCCTCCCTCCCTCATTCTATTCCAACCACCCCTGGCTCCTTGCTGTACTCCTTGTGCTCCTGGCCAGGTAAACTTCTGCCTAACAGGCTTTGCACTTCCTATTCTCTCAGCCTGGAATGATCTTTCCCCCAGATGTTGATATGATTCATTCTTGCACCCCTTTCAGTTCTGAAATGTCACCTTCTCTGTGAGGCCAACCCTTTAGCATTTCATCTTCTCCACTTATTTTTATCTAATCTGAATTTTATTGTCTGTCTCCTACCTATAGTATAAATTCCATGAGATCAGGGGTTTTGCTTTTTATACACACTATGTCGCCAGTGCCTAGTGCAGTGCACATATTACCTATAATAGTAATGTGTACTTACTAAATATTTGTTGTGCCCTGACCAGTGTGGTTTAGTGGTTAGAGCATAGAACATCAGCCCACATACTGAAGAGTCGTGGGTTCAATTCTCATTCAAGGGCATGTACCTGGAGTGCAGGTTCAGTCTCTGGCCCTGGTCAGGGCACGTGCAGGAAGCAGCCAATTGATGTGTCTCTCTCATATCTATGTTTCTCTGTCTCCCTCTATCAAAGGAAAAAAAATATCTTCAGGTGAGGATTGGAAAAAAAAATGTTTTGCAGTTTGATAAACTTTGCTGTTAAATACTATGTTTATGTGAAGAATTCCCTGATTTCTTCTAAATTACACAGTTTTCAAAGGAAATTTGGCCCAGTTTCTTTAGCTCTGAAAATCTATTTTATAATTTATAAATTCTTTTTTTTTTTTTTAAATATATTTTATTGATTTTTTACAGAGAGGAAGGGAGAGAGATACAGAGTTAGAAACATCGATGAGAGAGAGTCATCGATCAGCTGCCTCTTGCACACCCCCTACTGGGGATATGCCCGCAACCAAGGTACATGCCCTTGATCGGAATCGAACCTGGGACCCTTCAGTCCCCAAGCCGATGCTCTATCCATTGAGCCAAACCAGTCCCGGCTATAATTTATAAATTCTTATCACTTTTATTTCTATTTGTTCTCAACCACACATATAGTCTGTTATTACAAAGAATATTACATATTTGCATTTCCATTAAGATCTTACCATCCCAAAATTTAATTAAATTTTTAAAATTAGCAGTGGTTCTGCTATTTTTACACATGGAATCTGATTCATACTTGATTCTCAGTTTTTCTTCTCATTGTCTTCTCAAATAGCAAACAATAGATATTAGTTGCAACTATTATTATTTTCATTCCAGATATGGAAATGTTGCTATAATAATGTTTTTTTAATATGTAACCTCACACTTCATTTTCTCATATCCCCAGTTCCACAACACCTACTTCATTCACAATTTTAATGCCCTCTCTCTATATTTCTCCCTGCATTCTTCATTTCTTTCTAAATATTTTGATTTTATTCTATTTATTTTGATATGTACTTAATAGGTTTCATTGCTTACTTCTGTCCCCACAGTCTTCCTTATTATCTCCTGAGCTGACAGGACGTCTTTTATCTCTCTAATGTATTGCTGATTCATTCGTGTTCTTTGCCCTCAATCCTACTGGCTTTGCTGGTTTCAAAAGTGAAGATATGCCCCACTCCATGAGTCCTCAAACCTGAAAGCAATATTATCTCTCCTTCCCTGTTCCCTCACACTTGCCCCAAATATATCTTCACATTATAATGTAAGCTGGAGCAAGGCTGAGTACAACCTGTAGACACTGGTTCATTTCATTTAAAATGAGTTTTTACTATATCTCAAAATGGCTTCTGAGAAAAACTCAACCACTTTTTGTTAGGATTTACTTCAATATAGTTTTCTCACTTTAGCTTGGGAGTTTGGGTATAAAGTAGAACTTAAGATATTCAAGAAAACAATCTGTTGTTTCAATTATAGTAGAATGGCATGTGGTTGTTGAGTTTAAATAAATGCATTTAATTAAGATATCATTTAAGAAATTAAAATGAAGAGAATTGTCAATACGGTACTGATCTCTAAAATTCATTTTTTAAGTCTGGGAAAGTTGCCTGACCTCACAAATCTAAATAAGATAATGCCTAATCAACCCTACAGAGTTATTTTGACCATCAAATTAGATAAATTTGTGTAGCTCCTGTGAACCCCACAAATGTAGGAGAATTCTTGTTCTCTTGTTGGAAACCTAGCAAACTTCTCTTTCCTAGGATGTTTGACTTAGTATTTGTTCCCCTTTTTTGGGGAAAAATTGACCAAAGAAATTATCAATGTTTTGTTTTGTTTGTTTGTTTTTGGGGGAGTCATATGTATGTATTGTTATTGTTTTTTCCCATTTTCTTTGTATTTTTAGATTAACAAAAGCCGAGGCATTGTAGAAGCATCACGGATCATGAATTTGTACCAGTTTATTCAGCTTTATAAAGATATCACAAGTCAAGCAGCAGAAGTGTTGGCACAGAGCTCCACCTCTGAAGACCCTGATGAAAATTCGTCATCTGTAACATCTTGTCAGGCTAGTCTTTGGATGGGAAGGTACACAATACATAAGAAGCATGTTTCTCTTATTTTCCAATATCCAAGCTACTGAAATCTCATTAATATTTTTGCTGGTGCTCTGTGAGATCTTAAATCACATTACTTTTTGTTTCAATTGATATTATATCTCAGATCAGCTTTTGGGGGTCATTCTGTACTTAAGGACATTGTTAGAGGGCTCAATTGAAGAAAAGTTGAAGTGGCTTACGCCAGGTAATATTTCTGTCAACTTCATTTCCATAATCCACTCTCTACATGCTTGCATTTAATAACAAAAGAGTTATAGTTAATACCCCTCTTATAATAGATATTTAGGTTGTTATATCAAAGCCCTTTAGGAAATTAGGTCCAAGAATGGCAGAACCATTCCAGTTTTTTAATTGGAGCATTAAAATTGTAAATATTGGCTCCAGGATTTGGCAGTGCATTCAGGAATGAACAAGTAGTTGGTGTACATATTGCATGTGCCAGAAGGAAATGAAGTCAGCCAGAGTTTTATATGATGGTCCTTGTTTACTCAGGCCTAATACGTTATTGTTCTATCTAAACTTTCTTTTCCTTCTCTATAATGTTTTTGGCATATGAAAGCTCCCACCTGTTGCCATTTGACAACTATGATCATAATTTAAATTTGTAAACACCTCATTGGAAAGTCTTCCCTGCGTCCAGACATGTTGATATCCTGTTATTGTCATACAGAGAAGAAAGCAGAAACCTGTACTGACAGTTCCTTTTACCTTAAACTTAAAAATATGATTAACAAGAATTTCTCTTCTATTTCTTTAGTTGCATTTTCTGGTCTATTCTTAACCAGCTGGTCTCCAAATACTATGTTATAGTAAAATTGTATATTCCATTTATCATTTTCTGTTTATATTTAATCGGATGGTTTTCTAGGTTTGGCTGTACAAGTGTTACTGAAATTCCAAATGAGTTTTATAGCATTACTAGAGGCCCAGTGCATGAATTTGTGCACCAGTGGGGTCCCTTGGCCTGGCCTGCGGTATCAGACCAAAACCAACTCTCCAACATCCCTCAAGGGGTCCCAAATTGCAAGAAAGCACAGGCCAGGCCGAGGGATTCCACTGGTGCATAATTGGGGCCCAGGAGGGATGTGGGAGGTTGGCCATTTGGGAGTTGACTATGGGAAGGCTCCAGGTCATATCCGTTTTATCTGGCTCTGCCTGACCCCAGCAGCAAGCTAATCTACTGGTCGGAGCCTCTGCTCCCTGGTGGTCAGTGCATGTCATAGCAACTGATCGACCAATTGACTGTCTGCCTGCTGGTGGTCAGTGCACGTCATAGTGATCAGTTGAACGGCCTTAGCATATCAGCATATTATGCTTTGATTGGTTGAACTGACAAGTGGACACTTAGCATATTAGGCTTTTATTATATAGAATAGGCAGTGTTAAGGTTTATCTTTCCTGTATTTTGTAAAGTCTTTCAAAGACAACTATCTGATTTTTGCCTTTTCTCTCTCCTTCAAAATGATGATTATTTATACATAGTATTTTAAAAGCCAAGAATAGTATTTACTATATTTAAGCTCTGTGGTAATCAGTGAAATGAAAGTAATACTTTCTCCTTATTGCAATCATCTTAATGAAGGAGATAGGATATTATTTCTTTTCATGTGCCCTCCAGACTAGAAAATTTAATGCCAGATCAGTAGGTTAAGGCTGCTTTTTTGCTTCTGTGTGCTTTTTGGTTTTCAGTTACACCCTGATACACTAGTTCATAGAAAACCAGACTTTCTAAGTTGAAGGGAATCTTAAGAGGTATTTATTTGCTTCAGCCTTACATCTCATGCATATTTCTATTAGTGGTTTACATTTATTGAGTACTTTAGGATAGTAAGCATTGTGATGAGCACTTTACATGTATAAACTCATTAAATCCTCACAACAACCCTACAATTATTGGCCTATTTCAGATGAAGAAACTGAGTTTAGACAAATAAATGACATAGATAGACATTGGCCAAGCTGAGATTCACATTCAGGCCTGTCTGGCAATATAGCTGTGCTTCCAGCCTGCATTGTTATTCTCTGGTGCATAAAGATCCTATACTACAGTGCTCCCTAACTTTTGACATTCAGTGGTTTTGAGGAGGAGCTTAAGATTCTAGCAAGCTGGCAGGTAATATCACTGCTGCAGATCCAAGGATAACACTTTGACTAGTAAGATGCTGCTGATGACGTTTAGCCAAGTGAAAGTGCAACTTGTACTTGAACACCTGCAGTTAAATGGGGCTCATAGGCTTAGAAAAGCAAGTCTTTTCATATACAGATGGTTCTAATTACTATGAATTCTTCCTATAATATAGCTCCTTTGAAACTATAATATCTATTTCATAGGACTCTTGAGAGAGTTAAGTGAGTTAACATATGTAAAATGCTTAGAATAGTACCTGGCCCATAATAATATGTAAGAATTAACTAGCATTAATTATCACTAAATTATTACTGTAGCCTACTTATTTCAGTAGCAGTGCCTTTTGGAATCCTACCAAAAAAAGTCTGTTCTCTTCTCCAGCCTTTCACATATTTGAAAACAGTAATCAAATCCTCACTGAGCCTCTGTTCTCTAGGACGAGCATCCCCAGTTCCTTCTGATTTGTTTATAGGAGTCTCTTCTATGTCTTGGAGGCTTTCCTGGATAATCCTTTATCTCTCAATGTGTCTTTCAGGGTAGACAGCATAGAACTGAATGCTCTTTAAGTGATCTAACAAGTTAAATAGAGCAAAGCTCTTCTTCTTCTGGTCACTTCACTGCTTGGGAGGTAGCAAAAAATCAGGTGAACATTATACAGGATCCATTGGCTGCTTTTGTGTGTCCTGTTCTTTCTTTTACCCCTATCCAGAATGCTGTTCTCAGTTCCTCACTTTTAAATTCTAACCTGTCACTCTATAGATTCAATTATATTCTTTGCTATTGACACTCACGTCTACATCCTTAGATGTAAATTGTAAGCTACTCAAAAGTAGAGACTCTTAAGTCATCTGGGTCTGGCACTATATATAGCACCTAAAAAGCACCTAAACATTGAAATGAACATATGTAGAAAAAAATAAAATACATTAGATCCACCACCATCTAGATTTTTATTCCATTTCCCCATTTCAATTCAGTGGCCACCCTATTTTGCCCAATTCTAAAGCATAACATTTAATCTATTACCACATCCTGATGATTTGTTTTTTATAATGATTCTTAGACCAGGCCCTAATTATCTTCCAAGTGAATTGCTGAAATAATCTAGATAATTGGGTTTCCTCCCTCGATACTGTCCCTCATACTGCACTCCCAATTCATTTTTCTAAAGTATTATTTCAGTGGAGTTACTTTCCTCTTGACAAAACTCTGATTTGTAGTTTGCCAGTCAGAACAAGTTTAAACTTTTCATTTTGATATTCAATGATCAGATTCTCCTTGCTATACTGATATTTAAGCAACCTGTTCTCTCAGTTTTCTTCCCAGAGCATCACACCAGGCTCCTTGTTGCATGCGTGTATGCGTACACAGGTTTTTTTCTACCTTCGCAGCTTTGTTTATTCACCTAGCATGTTCTCTGACAAAACCCTGTCATTTCTTTATCTAATCTTCCCAATAAGTTTAAAATACATTCATTTCCTCCTTTACTACATGTAATTTCCTCCTTTACTACATGATCTTACTACATGTAATGCACATTTGATATTTGCTTATATTATGTTTTATGTTCAAATTGATGAATTTTAAAGTGACATCTCGATACTATATCCATACACTGGTATAAGCACAGCAGAAGATTAAAAACATGTTACTATCGATAGTAGCTTCTCCTTTTAAACTTATAGTCTAGTGGCTATACATTGAAACATTCAATCTTTAAAAAAAGTAATACATGCCTGATGAACAAAACCTAAAAGTAATAGAAGAGCAAAAAGGATAAAAACAAATTAAAATCACTTCAAGAAACATTTATTGAGAACCTAAAATAAACTCCCTTTATTCAAAAAATTTTAAGTTTATAGATAGCCAGTAAACAGCCAGTTGAAATGCAACATGTAAGTACTTTAATTAAGGCACACGTTGATTTTGGGAACAGGCAGGTGATATTTTGAGCTGAGTTACTGATGTTGGAATTTACCAAACTCACAAAAGTATTCCAAGAAAGGAAAATACCATATGTATAGGAACTTGGCCCATTCAGGGGACTCTAAATGGTGTCTGGAGTAGAGGATTCAACATCTCTTTCCTTCCCAAGATGAGAGTGCTCCTTGAGGACCAAGACTGTGCTTTCTATATCTTTTGTATTTACTGTAGCACCCGATACTTAAGATTAAACTATTTTTTCATTTATATGCTCATTATCAGCATCAGCAAAGGAAGACCCTAATAACAAGATCCATATTTTAGAATGCTTTTTTATCCTGTATAGTGAATAAATCATGTATTGGTTGAATTCATTTATATAAATTTAATATGATTTAAATGGGTTAAGCTATTTGCAGAAAGACCTGAATATTTCCAGGTTTTTTTTGTCCATATTTTCCTTTTAATCACTGCAGAATTTATCTTTTATTCAGTCTTTCTTTATAAAATATGCACCTCTTAGTACTTCTCTAATATAATGCCTTCCATAAAAAGTATGTTGAGTTAGTGTTATATTGCATGAGTCATTTGCTTTATACTGAAGGCACATAGATATTTGATACTGCTTTTTCAGGTGATGGAAACAGTTTAAACCAATAGTCATCAACCTTTCGGACCTCATGGACCACCAGTGACAGCAGAGAATATCATTGTTCTAACTTTGCTTTCACATTGCAGGGTGAAGCAGCTGACTGATGAGGAAGAGTGTTGTATCTGCATGGATGGTCGAGCTGACCTCATCCTGCCTTGTGCTCACAACTTTTGTCAGAAGTGCATTGATAAATGGTAAGTTATCTGGTGTCTTCATGGAATAGGCAAAGGTCAAATGGGAACATGAATATGAATAAACTTCAAAAAAATATAAAAATATTGTAGTTAAGTATAAGATTTTGTTCTTTAGCACTTCGGACTTTATGACATGCCTCCTAATGGTTAAAATATTTTTATACCTAAAGTTTATAAAATGTGGGGGTGTATTTTAGTTTTGGCAGTTTACTTTTCCTTGTAAGGAGATTTGTGCTTCACTTGCCAGAATCATATACTTCCCTTTTTCTTATTTCTGCATTGTTCCTTTATGTGTGATTAGAAGAAATAATAATTGGACCTGGAGGGAACTTGAGAGATCAGCTGGTCAAGCTCATTAGTATTTTATAAATAAGAATCTCATTTAGGAGAATTTATATTTGATATAAAAGTAATTATACTTCAGGTACAATTTGATGTTTTGACATGTGTACACATGCACATCTTCACTATACAGATAATGAAGAAGTCCATCACCCCAAAAAGTTCCTTTGTTCCCATTCTAAAATCTCCTTCCCACCCCTTCCTTCCAGTGCCCAGACAACCACTACTCTGCTGTCAGTCACTATAAAATAATTTGGATTTTCTAAAATTTTTATAACTGAAATCATATATAACCTATTTTTGTCTGCCTTCTTTCATTCAGTATAATTATTTTAAGATTTACCTATGTTGTAGTATGTATCAGTAGTTCCTTTTTATTGCTGAGTAGTATTCATTGTATGGATACCAGAGTTTATTTATCCATTACTTGTTGATGGACATTGGGTTGTTTCCAATTTTTGGCTATTACAAATAAAGCTTTTTTTTTTTTTTCTAAAATAAATGAAAATGCAATCTCCAAATTTAGGAGCTAAAAGCACTACTTTCTCTCAACTGCCAATTTCTACAAAAGAAGTTGTAAGGATTTTGATTGGGATTGCATTATAGTCAATTTAGAGACTTGACTTAATAATATCCAATCCACAAAAAAACAGAACAGTTTATTTCTCCATTTACTTAATCTTGTTTAATTTTTCTTATCGATTTTTGTAGTCTTCATTGTTGCATATCTTTGACAGATTTATCCCTAAGTACTTTTGTTTCTTATACTATTCCAAATGATATTAAGTTTTAGTTTATAATTGTTCATTAGTATTTAGAAATACAATTGATTTTTGTATATCAGTCGCATATTCTGCAACCTTACTAAACTCATTTATTAGTTTTCATGTTTTTTGTAGGTTTATAGGATTTTCTTGAATGTCTATTTAAACATCATTTTTAAAATATTTTTTCTGGATAGAGAATTCTAGACTGATAGTATTTTTTTCCCCCAGTACTTTAATGATATTGCTTTATTCTCATTTTTCTTGCATTGTTGCCTATGAGAAATCTCTATCATCCTTTTTTCCTATGTGAGTATTGTACTTTACCCCCTCTGGTTGTTTTTAAGATTATTTTTCATTATCACTGGTTTTGAGCAATTTGATTATAATGTGCCTTAGATTAGTTTTCTTTCAATCCTTGTGCTTTGGGATCATTGAGTTTTTTAGATTTGTAGGTTTGTGGTATCAATTTTGGAAATGTTTCAGCCATTATTTCTCAAATATTTTTTTCTGTTCTTTCCACTCTCCTTCTGGGACTGCAGCTACACGTATGTTAGACCATTTGAAGTTGTCTACAGTTCACTGATGCTATTTTTTCCCCCCTAATTTTAGTCATTTTCTCTGATTGGATAATTAATACTGCAATGCCTTTTCAAATTACTAATCTTTTTTTCCCTACAGTGTCTAGCTTGTCATTAATTTGCATCCAGTATATTTTATTACTTCAGATATTGTAGTTTTCATTTCTAAAAGTTTTTTAATATCTTCTATGTCTCTACTTAATGTGTTTGGTCCTTCTAGTTCTTTTAAAAATATATGGAATATGATTATCATAACCTTTCCTTTTCTTCTCTGATAATTCTAACATCTGTGTCAATTCCTAATTGGTTTTGACTGATTTTTCTCTTCATTTTGGGTTGCATTTTTCTGCTTCTTTTTTGGCCTGGTAGTTCTTGATTGGGTGCCAGACATTGTGATTTTTACCTTTTTGGGTGCTGGATATTTTTATATTCCTATAAATATTCTTGAGCTTTGTTCTGGGATATAGTTACTTGGAAACAATTTAATCCTTTTGGATCTTGCTTTGATAATTTGTTAGGCAAGACTAGAGCAGTGTTTAGCTTAGAACACATTATGTCCCACTAATGAGGCAGGACCTTTCAGAGTACTCCATGCTCTGTGAATTATGAGGTTTTCCAGTCTGGCTGGTGGGAACAGGCAATATCCCAGGCCCTTTGTGAGCTTTGAGTACTGGCCTCTCAAATACTTCTGGGTGATTCTTCAGCCTGGAGTAGTTTCCTCACATGCACATGCTCTGCTGAAGATACTCTAGGGGGACCCTCTGTAGATTTGGGAATTCTCCCTTTGTGCAACTTTCTCCACACCAGTTCTCTGCTCTGTAACTCGGAGGAGCTGCCTTAACCTCCTGAGACTCTCAGCTGTTCCTTCAACTAGGGGAGGAGCCTGCCAAGTTCCATCTGGGTTCCCAGCTTACTCTGTGGCCTAGAAACTCTCAAGGCAGTAAGCTGGGGCAGTTGTAGGGCTCACCTTTTCTGCTTCCCACCTCTCAGGAATTGCTGTCCTGTGTTGTCTGGTCCCTATTGCCAGAAGCAGAAGTTGACTGTTTTAAAGTTGTGACTTGTGCACAGAAGAGCACACATAATTATCTTTGTAAAGTATCACTCTCTGAGGAACCAGAAAGGAATCTGAATAATATATGCTAGCTCTAGCTTTCACATTTAGTTTTGAAACAGATCTCTTAGTTTTGCACAACGGCCAAAGAGCAATTGATATAATTTAATTACTTTAGTCTCAGATTTCACTGAGAGATGAAGAGAAAAGCATTCTCCCTGCATGACATGTTTCTGGCTCAAATACGGTAGTTTTGAAATTTCCAAATTTATGTTTGACAAGACAAAAAACAACCCTTTGAAAAACATAATCTTATTTAAGTGATCATATACAAGCTCTTTTTCTGTCAGGAAAATTATTCTGCATGTAAAGTTATCTTTTATTTTAAATCTTGAATTCTTCCATTTTGTTGTCTGTAATGGCAAAAGAAAGGGAAAACCCTAAATGTTCTTCTGTGGGAGACTAATTAAATAAAAGGTGGCCTTTTCATACAATGCATGTTTAAAAGAATAGACAGCTCTAATGTGCACTGATACATAATGGCCTACAGGACATACTGACAAACTTGCCCCTGGGGATAAGAATTAAAGATTGGGCTGGAGGGAGAGATTTATTTTTCACTGTATACTTTTATGCTTTTTACTTTTTTAAAAAAAACATGTATATGTATTACTTTTCAAACAAACCTGTTTTTAAAAAAAGAAGAAAAAGAACTATTCTTTAATTGACTTCTCTAACAGGAGTGATCGACACAGGAATTGCCCTATTTGTCGCCTGCAGATGACTGGAGCAAATGAATCTTGGGTGGTGTCAGATGCGCCCACTGAAGATGATATGGCTAACTATATTCTTAACATGGCTGATGAGGCAGGCCAGCCGCACAGACCATGACCTTGAGTGAAGGGTTTTGTTGCTATTGTGAGCTACAAACACTTGGGTCATGGGGAAAGAATGCAGGGATGTTGTGGCGCAGTCAGCGAGAACTCACTTTCCTCCACCTTCTTATTTTCGCTTTCCTGATAATTTGTTCCATTTCTTTTGATAAACATTTTATGTCTTCCATTTATGGTAAATTAAAATTTGCTACTGTTCTAGACCATTATTTTCCTATTATTTATCTGTTCTAATGTAACTTATTAGAACTAATTGCTCTTGAATCCTTTGCTGCAGTAACAGCAACATTTCCAGAGGCTTCTGAAACACTACTATTTTTCAGGGTAGGAGCATTCTGGAATAAACTATAACCCTGGCCAAAGTGGTTCAGTGGTTAGAGTGTCCCATGCACCAAGGGGTCTCAGGTTTGATTCCCAGTCAGGGCACATACCCAGGTTGCGGGTTTGATCCTCAGTCAGGGCACATACGGGAGGCAACTGGTCGATGTTTCTCACATCGATGTTTATCTCCCTCTTCCTTTCTCTCTCTCTCTCTCTTGAATCAATGAAAAATGTATCCTCGCATGAGGATTAAATAAATAAAATAAAATAAACCATGAATGTTAAAAAGTTGTAGCCATCTGAGAGAAAATTTTATAAGACTGAAAATGTAGACTACGTCAAAGTGCATGTTACTACTTAAATTAGTTTTTCTGCTGGAATCTAAGGAGTATGTATGCCCCCTTGTGGTTAATTATTGCTCCTTTAATAATTATTACTTGAAATGATCCACAGTTATTTCATAACTTTAGCTGTGCATTTGAAACTACATATTTTTTACTTAAAAGCCCTTTTCCCCCCTCACACTGTATAATTTGGGTGAAGACTAAAAGTTGGGTGTGATTTTGCCTTGTAAATGGATTTCTGCTGGGGAATCTTCTAGAAATGCTTTTCCACAGCTGGGGAACTGTTCTAAATCGCTTTTGATAAAGTTCATGTGTCTTGGAGTTTCAGAAGGAAATTTTTATCACAGATTTTAAATGTTATTTGTCCAAATTATGGCAAATCATTCAATATTAGTTTATGGTGCTTTTATTTTAACTTGAAAGCATCTTACTGAGGTCATCTCAGACTTCTTAGATTAAGAAAGAAGAAAATAGGATGAAACCTTTTAACAATAGGTACATAAAACACCTCTGAAAATTAGGAGATAATTTGGTTTTCTTACCGTTCATTCCACTTCCTTTGAAATACTTTGAAAGAATTATAATGTTCAGTGGCATTTCAACCATTTTTTAAATTTTTACTTAAAAAGTAAATTTTTGTTTTATGTTAAACATTATGATATCAGCATATAATAAAATCAGAGCCTGATGTCTCCTTTTAAAATAATGTTAACATTCCATGTAACTTTTCTGACTTGTTGGTAAGTTACAAATATATTGTGAAGTACCAAAGTATACAATTTTAAGTTGCTTCATATTGATGGCAAAATTTTTGGGTACTAGGATTTTTTTAATAGACATGCAAATTAAAAAATTCATTTCTTAGCAAATGTCTAACTAAATATGGCTTGATTTTTACCCCCAAAATACTGATAATGAACTGGTTGACATTCATGATGGGGGCAGGTCAGTACCAAATAGCTAAACACTCACTGGATATTTGTGCAGAGTACTGAGGGCTCTGTCACATCGACCTGGCAATGCCTTTTATGGCCAGGTGACCTTGAGAAAGTCCCTTCCTCTGGTTTGTAGGCTCATACTTTAGAAACTGAGACTCTATTTGTGGTTTTCACACTTTTATTTCAGCAGTAGAATCTTTTTTTTCTCCCAAAGTAAAATCTTACTCGAACCTCTAGCTCCATGTGCTGAATGTGCACACATGTACACACACACCGTACACCACTTTATAAATCATATTAATAATTAATATAAATTTCCTTATGTAAATTCCATATACTACAATACTAAATATTATAAAGCCAATCAATGAAAATATATATGAATGCATTGTTGATATCCAATGTATGAGAATTTGGTGAGTAGCAAAGTTGTATGATGGGACTTATTTTTTAAATTTTCTCAAAAAAATTTTTTAAATTAAATTCAGGTCAAATTTGCAGAACCCTGATTTTCCTCCATGATTGTTAGTATTCTATGGAACATATTTTGAAAAACGTTGGGATAGATGACCCCCTAATATCTTTTTCAGCTCTAAGATTTTAAATCCTTTGGATTAGATTTACTGAGTCCTGTTCAGATTGCCTAATTTAAGAATGTTTCTGAAAATGAGCAGTTGCTTTACAGATTTCTGGATCTTTCCCAGAAAGAGAATTTGGTGAGTAGCAAATTAAAAAAGGATTTTTTTAATAGACATGCAAATTAAAAAATTCATTTTATCCCTCAGAATTCTTCACCTTTCAAGGAATTATTTAACAGTGAAAACAGAAACTTGATATTGCCCAAACCTTTTTACTTTTCAATATGAGCTCCAAGACACTAACTGATCTACTGTGAAACAAATGTTTTTATTAGCCTTATCTACTAAATGAGCAGTTTTTGCTCACTCCACTAAACTGGGTGATAATTCTTTAGATGTGAATATTAGGTATGTTATAATTACTCATAAAAAGTTGTAAATGTGTTAATGGATGAAATGTACACTTTTTGTATTCTGTACAGCTTTGTCTTTTTTAATTATGAAGTACTTAAATGCACTTACTATGATAGGAAGTATAATGTGTGCCTTTATTTTATGTTGTAAAGTTTTCCCTCTCCTAATTCAATGGCAAAGGTTTGACTCATATTACAGTGCTATAGAACTTTAGTTTAAGAAAACAGATTTGACTATGTACTGAATTTAGAAGTGGAGAATAATAGTATCTGTTTTATTCTTAGGATAAACTGATATATTGTGCAATAAATAATCTTTAACAAATAAATTTTACATTGAAGAGATTTTTTCTTATCATGTAGTTTCACATTCTCATGTGCCAAGTGCTTATATTCCTTACAGGACTGTTTTGTGTTGTGCTCTGGGGGATTGTGATGTTTGGGTACTATGTTTTAAAATTCATTTCAAATTGGACTCAATTTTCTTATACCTAATATATACCTGAGTAATAAGCCTTCTTGAAAGTACCTCTTGGTTCAGTGATTTATTAAAAGGAAGTCTGATGAATTTGCATTTTACTGGTTTCTTCTTCATTAAGTCAGGCTTATCCAGGAATAAGAAAACTACTTGGAGGTCAGGGAAATCAGCTGATCGACCATATTTATGCTTGTCAACACAATGACAGTATAACACAGTTTACAGCAGATTTTTCTTACCTTTTAAAAATAATTGATAAAATATTCCATACTGTGACAGTTTTCGTTTGTTTTTTAAGAGAGAGAGTCATTGATCGGCTGGCTGCCTCCTCCACGCCCCACACAGGATCGAGCCCACAACACAGGCATGTGCCCTGACCGGGAATCAAAGCATGATCTCCTGGTTCATAGGTCGACTCTCAACCACTGAGCCATGCCAGCCAGATCCTATGACGGATTTTTTTTTTAAATATATTTTATTGATTTTTTTTACAGAGAGGAAGAGAGAGGGATAGAGAGTTAGAAACATCGATGAGAGAATCATTGACAAGCTGCATCTTGCACACCCCCTACTGGGGATGTACCCACAACCAAGGCACATGCCCCTGACTGGAATCGAACCTGGGACCATTCAGTCTGCAGGCCAACGCTCTATCCATTGAGCCAAACGGGTTTCGGCCCTATGACAGTTTTGATGTTTACTTATAAAATCATTTTTAAGATAAAATTAATGTAATTTGAGCAGCATAGTAGAATTTTAGTGCTGAGAAAAGTCATTTATAAGAAGTGGTAGTTTATAATTAAATTTACTAATATATGTCATCATGGAGAACACATTTTGGTCTCAAAAGACATAAAAGCCTTCAGATATAGTTTAATCTTGCAACTGTGTATAGTCTTACTCTCTGGCACCCTCTGTCTTTTTATTAAGATATTTATTTAGGGGTTTAGGGAATAAAAATTCCTAAGGAACCATATCTGCCTGATTAGTGTTCCTTTTTATTGTAGTTAGTTTCACTTATTTTTATTTTTTTATTTTTTAAGGTGTTACATATGTGTTCTTATTCCCACATTACCCTCCCTCCCCATCCCTCCCACTCATGCCCTAACCCTTCTGTTGTCTGTGTCCATTGGTGGTTAGGTTTATATGCATGCATATAGTCCTTTGGTTGATGTCTCCCCCTCACTCCCACCCTCCCCTACCTTCCCTCTGAGGTTTGATGGTCTGATTGAAGTTTCTCTGTCTCTGGATCTATTTTTGTCCATCAGTTTATGTTCATTATATTCAAAAAATGAGTGAGATCATGTGATGATCATCTTTCTCTGACTGGCATATTTCACTTAGCATAATGCTCTCCAGCTCCATCCATGCTGTTACAAATGGTAAGAACTCCTTTTTTACTGCAGCATAGTATTACACTTGTTCTTTATAATGGTCATTGTTCAGGTATAGAATACTTAGGTATATTATCAACATAGCTCTTCAGCTGTGCCTAACAATCCAGAAAAAGATGAATATTGTTTCACCTACACAGCACTCAGAAACAAGTAAAGTGAATATTGTTTCACCTACACAGCACTCAGAGGGGTGGTTTGCAATTCTGCTTTAATCCAGGATGAGGAATAAAGGCCCAGGATAGGCCTTGGTAAATGCCAACCTAGGAGAAGTTGTGATTTGTTTTTATGAGACAAAAGGCAACAACAATGATAACTTCAGCAGTGCAGTTTAACACAAAATGTGAAGTTGAGCCTTTTAGAGTAAGAGAGAACATACTCAAACACTGTTATTTTAAAAACATGGGATAATATGCAATTACCTTTGATTCCAGCTGTAAACGTGAAAGTCGGATTCACACCTCCCCCAAGAAAAGGCCAGTTATATATACAATAATGTAATAAAAGCACAAAGTACCATAGGAAAGAGGAAGGCATCTGAAAAGTTCACAGGACAGGTGAAATTTTTGCAGTAAGTGCCGGCTGAACAGATGAAAGTAATATCTGTGGAAAGGGAAACGAACGTGCCTGGAAGAAGTTAGAGAGGAAGATAGCAAAGGTTTACTTTCTGGGCTAGTGAGCTCTAGTTTGAAATTTTTTTTTCCTAGCGAATGTCATTTATGTCTCAGTCTTAGGTGCAAAATGAAATAGTAGTTATTGAAAGTTTTCCCTGATAGCCAGTCTTTTCTTATAGTAAAAGACTTAAACATTTGCTTTAAACGCTATTAAGTTGAAATAGTTTTAAATTATGGAGCCATAGTCCTAACAGACTTTATTTAATAATTACAAACAAATACTTGATACAGATAAAATGACAATGAAAAAAAAAACTGTACAATACTTGCAATGATAGGGAAAATGTATATAAATGGGGGCTTTTCAAAAATAACAAATGCCTAAGATAAATGTCGGGTTTTCACTCAATTTCTTGATTAGTGATAAGTTAGAATATATGTTTGTCATATAAGTTACATATAACATAAAAGTTAAAAAGAAAACACTATATTTATTGTTCTGTAGACCTGTAGAGGGGACATGCATTATAAAATAAAGTCACAGGACAAGAAAATCTAAAGTCAAATAAGCACTTTCACAGGCAAAAATAAGGTTCTTCCAATCACATGATTCAGGACTTCCCATAGTCTGTATTTGCTCACACATAGAAATAAACAAGAAGGTCCTTGAGCAGCTTGTACTAGGAGCATATATTCTTAAAAGGTTGCCAAAAGAGAAAGTCATTTATTCAACATACATTTATTGAGCACCTACTATATACCAGGCACAAGTAACACAGATGAAGAGTACATTGGTAAAGCTTAAATTCATACTGGACTTAAAAAATACTTTTCTACCTGACACCTGGGACCACTTATATATTGGGGGGAAGTATGTGTGTTAGGTAAAGGAGGAAAAATAAATGCATCGGGTTACAGTGATAAAAACTTCCGTGAGGCCTTGTGGAATAGTGAGAAAGGACTGGATTAGGAGTAGGGAAACCTAGTTCTAGTCCTATTACTTATTAGCTGTGTGACCTTAAATAAATCTCACTTCTCTGGCCCTAATTCTTCATAAGCAAAATGATAATTGGGCTATAATCATTCGTAAAATATTAGAGCCAAAAGGGAACAGAGATGATCTAGTCTGGTGCTTTTCAAAATCCTTACTTCAAATGAAATATGTACAAGTCCCAAAGAAGAAGCAAAAGCAACGCCCAGAACCTCATTCCCCTTCCCCCTCCCACCTTGAAATTGGGAGGGGGATTCAAGACCTCTATTTGAAAATCTCTCATCTAGTCCAAACCCTCATGTTTCAAATGAGGAAACCAAGACACAGACCAGAAGTGACTGTTGCGATGTGCACATTTGGCTTCCTAAGTAGAAAAGAGAGAGGTGGCCTAAATAAAATAGTTTAAGAAATTCATCAAAAATGCAAAGAAGTCTTTTTTTTGGGGGGGAGGGGTTAATATGAGGATATTTTCCCCCATTGATTTTAGAGTAGAAAAAGAGCAGGGAGGGGTGCGGGGGGGGGGGGAGAGGGGATAGAAACATCGATGTGAGAGAGGCACATCCATTGATTGCCTCCTGCACACTGAACTTGGAGCAAGTACATGCCCTTGACCAGAATCGATCCCACAACCCTTCAGTTCAGGGGCCAACACTAACCACTGAGCACACCGGCCAGGGCAGAAGTTGTCTATTTTAATTCTCTCAAAGTAGCTCCTTTTTGAAAGGGAGCTTTGAAATTGATTTTTTTTAAGGCAGCCACCTACCACAAAGACTGGAGGGCCTATAGTGGACTGGCAGAAAACCACATGGACCCCATGTCAGTAGCCACTTGAACCATGAAAGATCCTGGCCCTAACAATGCAAGCACTAGTGGTTTGAAGAGAGATATTTGGAAAATTAGGAATGAGTACAGACAACTGTCTATCTCCCAGATCCCCAAGAAGCAATCGCCATGTATTACTCTGAAATACTAACAGAAGTGGACATGTCAGGTCTTAAAGTGAACAGTGCAACCAAAATCACTAGGTTTGAAGGTTCTTCAGAGGCATTCTCTCCCGGGAGGAGAGTCCCAGTGTGGTATCTTGACCACTGGCAATCACAGCAGACGTGAGATTAAACCAGGACGTTACAATGCATGTCCAGTGCTAGACCTACTTGGTCAGGGCTGTGATCTGTTCTGACTTCATGGCATCAGACAGGAAGCTGAGCTCATTGCATAAGGTCTCGTATCGGAATGCCATCCGGATCTGAGCAACGTTAGTCTTTCGAATATCATTTCCTTCAGGTCCTTCTTTATAATAATTTTGTCCCAGGAACTTCTGCTTTTCCTGTGGCCCAAGAGAAATACAAATCAATCAGTACACCTTAGATTCATGTTCTCTGTCCACATGGCGGCTCGGGCATTCAGTCACACCAAATCAGACATGCCCCTGAAGCAGGTCCCCCATCAGAGCATCTTTCCCCATGGGGCTCAGTAATTTCCTCCTGGCCCCCATGTCCTCAGGGATGTCACCCTGACAACCATATTCATTCCCTTCATCTCTGCCTATGCCTTACTTGATCAGAAAGGAACGATTCCTGCTGGTGAGGAAAATGGCAAGGTAAAGACTCTTAAGCAGTCCCTCCTGAGAGCTGACAAAGGCAGACAGTCGGGAGTTTGGGGAAAGCCAGTCCAAGGAACCAAATGCACACGCTGAATCTGCACCCTTTAACTCCTCTGCATCAGCATCAAAAGAGCAGCACCGCCGGGACCGGTTTGGCTCAGTGGATAGAGCGTCGGCCTGTGGACTGAAAGGTCCCAGGTTCGATTCCAGTCAAGGGCATGGGCACAGCCCCAGTAGGGGGTGTGCAGGAGACAGCTGATCGATGTTTCTCTCTCATCGATGCTTCAAACTTTAGCCCTCTCCATTCCTCTCTGTAAAAAAAAAATCAATAAAACATATTTTTTTTTAAAAAAAGAAGCAGCACTGATGCAGCCCTATTCCTGTACCAGTGACATCACCCAGAGGAGGTACCTGGGACCTGTGACACCATCTAGAGCAATGATTCTGCATGTCAGAATCACCTAGGAGGCTGTAAAAGCTACTGATGTCCAGGTCCCATCTCTAGAGTTTTTATTCAACCTAGGTACTCTTTTAGTCAAAAAATACCAAGGGCATGTATGTGCCAGGGGCTATCCTAAGCCTAGGGATATAATGCTGAACAAACAGCATCTGCTATAATGGAACTTACATTCCAGAGGGAAAGACAGAAAAACACATAACTACATATTACAACATCAGTAATAATAACACGAAGGAAAAAGAAGATGGACAGAGAAAGCTAAGTGTGTCTATTGCAGAATGGGTGGCCAAGGAAGGCCTCTGAGGAGGTGACATTTGAAAAGGTGACAGAGCAACCAGGAAAATTCAAGTCTCCTCCCTGGGATTCTCCCCCAGAACATGTGACAGAGACCCTGCCTGTCCCCTTCATCGCTGAACCCAGAGCCTCGGGAGTACCGGGTCAGCAGGCATTCACTGTGCAGGTGTCGAAAGGCCAGGAGGGACAGCGCCGCCACACGTACCTGATGTGAGAGGCCGCTCTGCAGCACGCTGTTCCTGGCGATCTCACACAGGTCACACGTGCTCAGCTTCCACACTTGAGCAGCAATCGCATATTCTTCCATAAGTGCTTCCTAGAGTCCCCCAAAAGTGAATGTATTAGATGGCAGAACATCCATTTCAATGCTGCACAGATTTCCAAAGCTAGAAACATCAGTCGCTGCAGATCTAATTTTTCTTTCATGTCTGGCACCTGGATAACCAAACAGCGTCCTCCCCCTAAGATCTTTTTGTGTGTGAAATCTTAGGGTACCAAGGAGAGAGAGATCGAAGAACACCCACACAGGTATTTGTTAATAGCACATGTCTGAAGCCCTGTGCTGGTCATGGGGACATCAGCCTGCTCTCCTGGGACAGTCTCCCAGGTCAGGCATTCCTTCAGTACCTGCTCACAGCTTTGTTATTTATTCAAAGAACCATTTCCTTAAGATTGTCCAAACGTCAAAGGTAATCAGAGTACCCTACAAAGAGCAGAGATGGAACCTTAAATAAGGAGGGGAAATGATCAGTATCAGCAGTGAGACAGTGTAATCCCCAAAGGATTTGGGTTTGGGCTGTGCTATCACTTTGTCTTCTGTGAAATGTCTGACTAACTCAAGCCCTTCCATTACCCACTGCCTCTCTATCTCGGAGCAGCAGTTCTTAAGATGTGGTCCCAGGATCCCTGCGGGTCCCCAAGGCCTTTTAAAAGGTCCTCCCTTTTCCAAAAATATGTAGTTGGAAAGGGGAAGGTTTTCTTCCTATACTTTGGTAGAAATAATTTATCACAACAGATATGAGAATCCAGCTGTCATCTATTAAAAGAGATTTGCAAAAATGTAAAACAGGGCCATTCTCAGTATTTTATTTTAGGAAATACAGTTTTGTTTTGTTTTTTCATAAAAATAGCTATTTATGTTAACCTTTAATAGATTTATCACTAGATATAACTCATGCTCTCTGAGGGCCTCCATTCTGGAAAGTATAAAGAGATCTTAGACCAAGCTTGGAGAGCCTGTCCCGGAAGACTCTGGGACTTCTGTTTTCACTAATTGGTGACTATCTTATCAATAACCATCCCAATGTGCTTGGCTTGCTCATGACTGGTCCCCAGGCATGACGTCGCCTTTCCCTTCTTCTTCTTCCCTTTCCCCAGAGATCTAAAGTGTAACAAGAATAACATTATTGCCGAAACCGGTTTGGCTCAATGGATAGAGTGTCAGCCTGCAGACTGAAAGCTCCCAGGTTCGATTCCGGTCAAGGGCATGTACCTTGGTTGCAGGCACATCCCTGGTAGGGGGTGTACAGGAGGCAGCTGGTTGATGTTTCTCTCTCATCGATGTTTCTAGCTCTCTATCCCTTTCCTTTCCTTTCCTCTCTGTAAAACATCAATAAAATATATTTTTTAAAATAATAATAATAATAACATTATTAAGAAAAACGGTAGCCAACATTTTGAATGCAAGCTACATGCAGATGCTCTATTAGGCTCTTCACCATCTTAACGAAGCTTCCTCACACTGCAGTTGATAGGTAGATGTGAGGCAATTGTTTCCCTATTTTACACACGAAGAAGAACAAATTACAGAACATCAAGTAACTTGACCAGCATCACGGAGCTAGTAAACCAGAGAAAGGCAAGGAAATAAAATTGTACCTTCAAGATTTCAAAGACCCCAAAAGAGGGCTCCTGGAAGAACACTTCCTTCTCTCACCAGGAGCCGACCTGCTGTCTTCACGGGGCCACCGCCCTCACCTTGACAGCAGCACTGAGCCATGTGCTCAGGTGCTGCCCTGGGAAGCCAGGCCAGGACCAGTGCCTGCTGGGACCCCTGCAGCCCTCGCCTCCCCTCAGGTCCTCACCTTTGTGTAGTGGAACTGCATGGGGTCGTCGGTGGAGAGGGAAACATGCAGCCCCTTGTGCAGGAATTCCCTCAGAGGGTTTTTGGAATATTCGAGGAACAGACTGTTGTTGCTCAGGGGAGACATGGCAATGGGGATCTGAGCCAGGTAGTAGAGATACTGCAACACCGGACTCTGCAAAAGAACCACCAAACTCAGGTGACAAGGGCCAGAGAGGGGAGGGTGGGGAGGGTAAGGGTGGACAGGGAGGAAGGGAGGGGAAAAGCCTCATCAGTGGAAGGCAGGGGTCTGAGCAGTGTCTGTGCAAGTCCCCAGCCACGCCCGAGTTCCCCAAAGCCAGGACATCCCATCTCTCCTCCTTTAACCCAACCTCAACATTCACCTCATTCCTACATCACATGCCCATCTCTCCCTGGGTCTGCCCATCTGCCCGCTGTTGGAAATGCTCCCTCTTGCCTCCAAAGTAGAAGCATAGCTCAGGGCAGCTGCATGCCCCAGCTGACTCCAACCTGCATGCTCAGCTCCCCTCCCCGGGCGCTGACCTCAAGTGCATGCCCCACTTCGTGGTTTTGTTGTTTTGACTGCAAATACTCAGGTTGAGGCTATAAACACTCCAGCAGATGGGAAGGGGCAGACCTAATTGGTCTAGAGTGGTTTCTTTGGTACAGTACCCACCCCACACAGAAATGTGACAGGTGGTGAGACCTCCCAGGACCACAGCAGGGGAGCAGTTTAGGCAAACATCGTCCCTATGGGAGGATCCAAGCGATGGAGCAGACCACATGCACAGAGTTCATGGGAGTATTATTTACACCAGCAAAAACTGGTTCTCTGCCCAGCAACTAGAGATGGTTGAATCAAAGATGGACCATCCAAATGGCAGGCCGTCCATCCAACAGCCTTTACAATGAGGAGCATACACATGTTGCAGCACAGAAAAATGCTTGTTAAATAAAGTTAAGGGACAATGAAGGAACAAAAACTTCTGTTCATCTTATCTAATAATAGACAAACATGTAAGTAGACCACCAGCCAATCAGGAGTGAAATGCAAATTAACCCAACAAATATTGCGGTTGATTTGCATACACAGGCACTGAGTGACTGGGGCAGGAAGAGTTCTGCTCCTCCCCTCCTCCCCCCCCAATTCTCGCAGGGCCTCTGGGCAGCATGGGAAGGCAGGGCTGGAGCAGAAAGAGGCAACTCCAGGGCCTGAGTGGAAAGGGGCTGGGCCAGAGAGGAAAGATGGTGCCAGCAGCCAGGGAAAGGAAAGCCCATTCTAGCACAAATCTTCGTGCATCGGGCTCCTGGTTATTATAATAAGCATTTAGAAATATGCTCTGGAAGAAGAAAAGAAAATGGAATAGGAAAACTAAAACGCTATAAATGGCTGTTTCTATTAAAGCAATAGCAATAAGGGTGGGGTTTTTTTCTTCCTATTTTTCCATTTGTTGGAAATCCAAATTGTGTTATATTTATAATACCACCTTCATAATTAAATATAAAACCAAAATGACTACAGACAGCCCTGCCCAGGAAAAGGCCCAGAGGCTCCCAGGGGCAAACAGGAGCCTGGAGACCCCACTCCTCCCCAGGGGAGCCCAGAGCAGGACTGTGGCTGAAGGCCGATGTCAGTGAATGGCTCGTTACCTTCTTGAGGAGCAGCCCGTGGGAAATGTTGTCGGCAGTCAGGAAAGCAGACACCAGGTGGGTGATGGACCCAGCCTCGCCGCAGTGAGGCCGGAACAGGAATGTGCTCAGACCTCGTTCCCTGTAGAACAAGTGAGGCAGGCTCTTGGTCAGCAGGACCCCTGGTCCACACTGCGCAGGACCCCACAGGCTAGGCCTGCACCCCTAACTCAGGGCCTACTCCAGGGCAGACAGTGACCCAGCTGACACAGGACACCCTGGAAACTGCCCCTCCAAAAATGCAGCGGCCAGACTATCCCTGGGGAACAGAGGGAGCCTCGTGGTAGAAGGAGACTACTCTGTCCTCCACCCACTCCACCCCTTCCCTCCTCACCGGGCCTGTAGCCCAGATTCATAAACCTTCAGAGCAGGAAAAGCCATGAGAAATCATGGAGTCCAACTTCTCTGTTACACAAATGGACAAACCCAGAGAACCCGGAAGGTGGAGTGAGACATTAGATAAGCCACTGAGCAGATCAGTGGCAGAGCCAGAACTAGAGCCCAATGTCCAAAAGCTCAGCCCAGACTTCCCCCACCCAACACCAGGCCATCTTCTTTCCACCCATCTCATTCAAAACCTCCAACCTACAAACCAGCGAGGCCCCATGCCCAGCAGGGGCGGGAGGGGCGCAGAGAGGGGCATGGACGGCTCAATGTCCTGTGTGCTGGGTGCCTGACTCCTGCGTGTGTGCCCTGGTGGGAGCCTGGCCTGTAAAACCATTGGGTATAGGCTCCATGAGGGCATGGGCTTAGTCTGTTTGTTCCCTATCATGTGTCATGTAGCAGGTGCAATTATTTGTTGCATGAATGATTGCACATGTGAACACTTTCATGTGTGTTGGCACAACCTATGTATCATATCAGGTACAGGCAATTACACATGTAGGTGTTTGTGTGTGTGTGTGTGTGTGTGTGTGTGTGTGTGTGTGTGTGTGAGCGCGCGCACACGCGCGCACGCTTTGCGTCTGGCCTCAAGGCATGTATAATTGATTGTGTCTGTTGTAGTGGGTGCGACAGCCTGTGTACCTGGCCCTATGTGAGAGGCTGGGGCACGTCCTCGGGTTTGAAGTGTGAGGGCCCATGGCCATGGGTGCAGGCAGCTCACCCACCTGCGGAGGTTGTTGAGCACCATGATGTTGGCATACATGTAGTACAGGTAGTAGCTGTAGGGCGGGTTCTGCTCACTGGTCCAGATGTCCGGGTTGGGGCTCTTGTCCGAGAACATGTGGTCGCTGTGCTTGGACTCATCATCCACACTGTCGAATCCTGTCACCTGGGTGGGACAAGGGGCCCTACATCAAGCCAAGGCCTTGGAGGCCGGGCCTCTTGGGTCCATGCCTCAGCTGGAGACCCCAGAGCTAGCCTGAGGCACAGTGCCCCCAGGGATGGGGAGTGGGCACAATGCCATCCTCTTTCCTCCTGGGCTTCCAGCGGCACCCAGAGGGCCAGAGTGGAGAGTGCTAAGCCCTGTGTGGTGGTGGCGATGGTGAGGGGACACATGGGCCAGGTGAACAGTGAGGCAGCCCTACCCACTGCTCACCCCTCTGCTATGCCAAGGAGGAGGCCGGCGCTGCAGGGAAGCCAGCAGTCCTGCCATCAGCAGCAGGGACAGCAGCTCAGGGGGGAGGGGAGAAGCACGTCCCATGCACCTACTACACATCAGGCCCTGCTTGACGCACTTACCACACATCAAGTGATTTAATACTCAGTGGCCCTGGGAGGGAGGGCTGGGCTGAGGGAGGGGTGGGCAAACCAGAGCCAAGGCAATTAGCCAGAGACCACAGGCTCTGAGCCTAAATGGGCTCAACATCTGGACTCCCGGGCTGTCGGTGGAGCGTGCCCAAGGGCATGTCCCAGGTGGAATCATGGAAAACCAGCTGGGATGCTCTGCACCCCGGCCGCCTTGGAGGGCTGAGCCATGGCTCTGGGGGGAGGTGGCTCTCCGCACCACCTCCTCCCCGGGAGCTGCCCTCCGAGCCGGGTCAGAGAAGCTCCGGAGACTCCCACCTTCCACTCCAGTTACACCTCCGCTGGGGTCCAGACTGTGCCCAGGGGCCCCCCTCTAGGCACCTGCTGCCAGAGGTCAGGCCCTGACCACAAATGTACCTGTGAGGACACAGCCTCTTAGCCAGCATGTGGGACAGTTTTGCTAACACATGTCTCTCCTTAACGCTCAACCGGAGTGGAGTCTAGGAAGGGCCCCTGAAAGACTGCCCACTTCGCTCCACATGCTCCCAGCTGGGTCTGCCAGCCTCTCCCAAAGGAGCAAGGGACCACGAGGGGGTGGGCGGAATCTTCCCCGTCACAGAGCCCTATGTGTCAAAGGGACAAGGCCCCCACTATAGCTCTCAGTGTGACCTGGACGATCATGGGGGACCAGGGAGGACTCAAGTTCTGCTCTGTCCCCACGAGCTCCAGCTTCTCCGGGACTCTCAAGGCTGGGCATGGGGGTAACGTCGGCCCCTCTGCTGAACTCTGTACCAACGGATGCAGGGCCTGGAACTGGACCTCCCACACGCCTCAAGCACAAAATATATGCATACCTTAACTCCTCCTGCTCAAGTCTGCTCTTCCCCATTGTCAGCAATGGCCCCTGACAGGCACACTGTCCAACTCCCCACCCAAAAAACCCCAGGCACCAGGAGGCCCCCTGAAGCCCACCTTCAGTCTCCACTCAGGTCCCTCAATCTACACCCATGCCCAGCACGCTGCCCGGAACCCTGCCTGCCTCCCGCATACACCACACTTTTCTTACTTAGGAGGCCGCCTGGGATGGGGGTAATAACACCTGGATATGAATCCCAGTTCTGCCACTTTTTCGTTTTTGTCTCCTCGTGTGTAAGCTGGAGCTAGTAGCTCCGTAGGGCTGGTGTGAGGATTAAATGGGACAGTCCCTGGAGAGCACCTAGCACAGGGTCTGGTGCACAGCAAGCACACAATGCTGCTTATTGTTAACAGAGTCCATCACACGGCTAGTACATAACACTCTCATTGTTAATTCCAACCATGGTGTAAAGTAGGGCAGCCATGAGGCTGACGCAGGGTCACGTCACGTGCAGACCCCGGAGCAGGCAGCAGCTGTACGGCTAGTTCTAGCCCCCGTCTGCCTGACTGCTGGGACCGGCCCCTGACTCATCTGGACCCTTTCCCCGACCTCCAGCCACCTTCTGTTCCAGGCCACTCACCACACAGCAGCCAGGATGGTGTTTGTCTAAAACAGATTCAGTGATGTCCTTCAGCTTATTCAAACCCTCTCCTGGCAGGTCCCGTCCCCCTATCCCTCCACACAGACACATATATACATTCACAAACTCAACCACCCCTATTCCATGACCCCAGCCTTCTGGAATCTCCCCTGCCTCCCTCCTTGTCAGAAATCTTCCCCAGAACCTCCACCAGATCCTGACCTTGCTCCTCACTGCCATTAGCTACCTCTATGCCAGGCACACAGAGCAAGCGACCAGCACCTGCCCCACTAGGCCCTTTCTGGTTAGGTCTCCTACGCCCCTTCTCTCCCTCTTGCATGGAACTGAACAGACATGGAAGATAAATACATCGTGTGGGGCTGGCTTGTGTGCCTAAGGTGTGAGCACCGTCTTTCTAGCTGAAAGCAGGAGGGATGAAATGTCTGCGTCTCTAAAGAAACCAGAGGCTGCTGCGGGGTGCTGCTTAGTGCTGCTGGGGCAGGACCCAGTCTTTGCAGCCCCACCTGGCCGGGCACTGACTCCTCAGTCTTTCCCCGTGCTGCCCACCCCAGCACCCACCCAAGCCCCAGGGTGCCCCTGAGGAGTCCAGGGGGGCTGGCAACCCCAGGCCTGGGCACAGGAGTGACAGGCCTGAGAAGGGAAGCCTGATCGGCCCACAGGGAATCCTCTCCTCTCTCCATCTCCGTGCCCGTCGCCTGGGCGCCACCCCCACTTACATATTTGAGGAAGAGGTGAAGCTCTCGGTGATCTTGGGGGTTGATTGTGGCCTCAAAAAGGGGCAGGAAGATGTTCTCCAGCATCTTCCCGAAGCTTGGCAGGAGCTTCTTCGACCTGAATATGTCACTGGGGAAAGCGAAGGCAATGGTCAAGGTGCACCCAACAGCCTCCTGGGCCTGTCTGAGATCGACCTCAGTCACTTCCCATTCAGACAGAACCCCCTGCGTGGAGGCAGAGATGTGGCTTCAACACGGCCCTTCTCCTTTCCAGCTCCCAGCAACGTCTGCACCACTTGCGTTGGCAAAGTCAGCACCGACCCAAGCCCCTCTAAGAGCTTTCTCAAGCCAGAGGCCACACTGAGAGAAGGGTGGAGGGATTCAGGGTGACCAAGGAGAGGAGTCTTCCTATTCCCCAGTGCTCCAAACTCTCTGCCACTCAGCTTGGTTCCCCTAAACCACAGGCCTCAGTCCGCCCAGGGGCCATGAACCCCCACATCAGCCAGACAGCCGGAGAGGACAGAGGTGGTCTCTGAGTCAGAGCCAGGGGAGGGCCGGCAATGCAGGCCACCACCGGGCGCCCCACACCCTGGTGCTCCCCCAAAAGGACCTCCACATCCTGCAGTGAGAAGACAGGCAGCAGTTCCCACCAGGCGTTGGCACACACATGTTCTTTAAGGAGTAAGCGTGTGTCACACAGACATCCCTGCTGACTGCCCTTTCCTATGGGAAAAGCCCTGAGGAGAAGAGGCCTAAGCGGGCACTGGAACAGGTCTCAGTACTGCAGACTCAGCGGCCAGGTGAGACAGGTAGGGGTCCCAGGGGGCACAGGCAGACCGGGGGCCTCCTCACTTACTAGATCCGGGGCACCTGGATGATCCAGCGCATGTTGGGAGAGTAGACCTTGTGCTGGATGAACCAGTGGGCCAGGTTGAGCCACTCATTGGGACAGCGGCCGTAGATGGAGAGCCTCGGCTCTGAGTACTGGTACTTGCTCTCCTCCAGCTCCCGGGCCACCTCCTGGGCACCAAGAAGAGCTAGAGTCAGGCCACGAGCACCCCGGCTGCCAGATCCTGCAGTTCCCTCAGCCACCTGCTCCCAGGCTGGGGCGGCCTCCTCTACATCACCTGGCTGCCAAGCAAGTACTCACTCGCCTCAGCAGAGGCTCCTTCCCGGAGAGAAAGGCCTTGGGTCTGCACCATCACAGCATAACCAGGCCAGGCAGCAGACACGGCTCCCCATGGAGCTCAGCTGCTCCCAGCCAAGCTCAGGCTGCAAATAGACAGGGCAGCAAGGCTGGACGCTGTGAGTGCTCTCAGGGTGGACGCCCTCCCCTTCCTCTTCCCCCCAGTCCGCGCAGCGGACACATTCAGCACCAGCTTGTCCACACTCGGAGCCGACAGCCGGGGCCAGAGCACTGGGCCCCTGAGCACCCGAGCTCTCCAGAGCTGGATGGTGGCTGGGCAGGGATTCGGGAAGGAGATGACAACGAGGCCACATGCAGCCCCCTGCTGAGGGCAGGTGCTGGCAGGTGTCTGAGGAGGGCTTGGCGAGGCTGAGGGCCCACTCACCTTGACCATCCGAGCAAAGTACTCTCCTCCCAAATAGTTTTCCGTTTTCAAATACAGGTCACGCAGCTCACAGGCCCCCACAGGATTGTATTTAGAGTTGAACTTGTCGAAGCGGTGGAATGTCTGCCGGCCCTGGAGAGAGGGAGGGGGCCACAGCCAGATTCACCGCATTGTCCTGCAGCCACCACACCCATCCCCCTCCCCAGGCCTTTATAAGGTGGTCTGACACAAGGCACACTGAAAGGCCTTCTCCGTCAGTTCTTTCATAAAATCAAATGTCTTGGGGCCAGGACCATGCATCCTCACTCTGTCAGCCTTGGGGTCCTTTTGTGGGGGACCCTGGTGAAGGAGGACCAGGGACATTGTGCTCCAAGCTGCTGTGGCTAAAAGCATGACTGGCTGAGTGAGCAGATGATTAAAAACTATCGAATGATCAAAAAGTGTGCCCTACCCAGCCAGGGTAGCTCAGTGGTTGAGTGTTGACCTATGAACCAGGAGGCCACATGCTGGGGTTGCAGCTCGATTCCCTGTGTGGGGCATACAGGAGGCAGCCGATCAGTCATTCTCTCTCATCATTGATGTTTCTATCTCTCCCTCTCCCTTCCTCTCTGAAATCAATAAAAATATATTTTAAAAAAATAATAAAAATCAAGTATGTCCTATTACTACTTAAATTTCATAAGGCACTTTCTCCACCTTATTGTATTCAGTGTTTTGTTTGTTTATTCAACAGATTTTTTTTTATTGTGGTAAAATATTCATAACACAACATTTACCATCATAGCCATTTTTAAGTATACAGTTCAATGGTATTAGGTATATTCATATTGTTGTACACCCATCACCACTATCCATCTCCAGAACTCTTTTTATCTTGTAAAACTGAAATTCTGTACCTATCCTATATAATAAAAGGCTAATATGCAAATTGACCATATGGCAGAATGACCAGTTGCTATGACACTCACTGACCACCAGGAGGCAGACGCTCAACACAGGAACTGCCCCCTGGTGGTCAATGTGCTCCCACAGGGGAAGTGCCTCTCAGCCAGAAGCCAGACTCAGGGGTGGTGAGCGCAGTGGTGGTGGCGGGAGTCTCTCCCACCTTTGCAGCAGCGCTAAGGACCCCTTGGGGGATGTCTGACTGCTGCAGGGAGCGGGCCTAAGCCGGCAGTTGGACATCCCCTGAAGGTCCCAGACTGTGAGAGAGCGCAGGTTGGGCTGAGGGAGCCCCTCCCTCCAGTGCATGAATGTCATGCACCAGGCCTCTAGTTAAACAGTAACTCGCCATTCTCTCTTCCCCCAGTCCCTAGAAATCTCTATTCTCCTTTCTGTCTCGATGAATTTACATATCCTAGGACCCTCACACAAGTGAAATCATATACTACTTGTCCTTTGATATATGATTTCTTTGACTTAACATAAAGATTTCAAGTATTTGTCCACATTATGGCAGATGTCAGCACTTTATTCTTTTTTAAGGCTGAAAAATATTCCATTGTATGGATATACCACATTTTGTTTTTTCATTCATTTATTGATGAATCCTTGGGTTGCTTCTACCTTTCAGGCATAGTGATTAATGCTGCATTGATATGTAAGTATCTATTTTAGTCTCTGCTTTCAGTTCTTTTGGGTACATTCTTAGGAGTGGAATTGCTGAGGAAACTTCATTACTATGTAGCTGCACCATCATTTAGTATTTTAATAACTTTGAAATGTCAATAGGCATGTTACATTTAGCATTTTATAGGCAAGGAAGTTAAAGTATGGCTTAGGGGCATATAACTGCTAAGTGACCGAAGTGGAAATAGAACTGGGACCTGCCTGACTCCTTGTCACATACTCTTGTTCCCTGGCCCAGGGCTACTCCCAGCCAGTTATTCTGAGGCCAAATTATCTCTCACAGTCGCCATGGCTAGAAGAGAAAGAGCTGCTTGCACAGCCAGCCTCTCTCCAAGCACAATCATGGCTTCTTTTCAGGTGGCTGACTCCCCAGCCGGGACTTCCTGAGGCCCCGGGGCGAAAGCTCACTCACCGCGTGGACGTCCAGCGAGTCCACAGTGAGGTCGTAAGGGTCCATGTGCAGGCTGTCGAACACCTGCCGCAGGGTAATCTTCTGGCCCTGCTTCTCAGCCACGATCCTGTCAGGCTCCGTCTGGTACGTGTGCTTGATGAAGCGCAGCAAGTGCTTCTGATTCATGCAGGCGGCCGCGTGGATGTGCGTGTCCACCTGCAACATGCACGCACCAACTCATGGGCCAGGCCGCCTCCTCAATCCTCAGTGTGCCACACAGAGCCCCCACCAATGCCTGGTTGCCTGCTGCCCACTTCTTCTCTAGACTTTGGAACTGGTCTCCCTCCAGCCTTGCTGCCCAGTTCACCTCCTCCCAGCATCTAGAAATCTTTTTAAGCTCCAGATTGGATCTGGCTACTTCTGTTAACAAACCATCAATACCACATTTTGTATTAGTATTTTAATAACTTTGAAGTGTCAATAGGCATGTTGCATTAAGCATTTTATAGGCAAGGAAATTAAAGCTTAACTGAGTGGCTTAGGCGCACAAAACTGCTAAGTGACCGAAGTGGAAATAGAACTGGGACCTGCCTGACTCCATGTCTCACACTCAAGATTAAGCTTAAGCACCTTAGTCTGGGATTCCAGGCTTATATCAAGCCTTACCTCTCCCCTGCCATGGCCCTGCTTTATGCTCCAGCCATGCCGTACCAGTGGCAGGTGCCCCTGGCACCATGCTATTCCACACCACATCTTTGCCCATGCGTGTCCTCAGCCTGGAATTCCTTCTTTTTTCCTCATCGACCTCAGCCACCTGAAAACTTCCTAGGACCTCCTCCCTTTGAAAGCTAGTCCTGATCCCCTAAGCCCAGGGTGGACAAACTGCGGCTCGCGAGCCACATGTGGCTCTTTGGCCCTTGAGTGTGGCTCTTCCACAAAATATCACGGCCTGGCGAGTCTATTTTGAAGAAGTGGTGTTAGAAGTTTAAATTTAAAAAGTTGGCTCTCAAAAGAAATTTCAATCATTGTACTGTTGATATTTAGCTCTGTTGATTAATGAGTTTGCTGACCACTGTCCTAAGCATAGCTGATGAGTGTCCCTTACGCAACCAGGGGAGCAGGCACAGACTCTCCCTGTACTGTACATGTCCTCTGATCCGCGCCAATATTTTCCTGGCTCCTCTTTCACTAAACAGGACAGGGACCATGTCCAATGCATACAAGTCTCCAGAGTCTGGGACACTGTATTACTTAAATCGGGGAATGGCCAGATAAACAAATGAACCGGTATAATAGGTTCCGGTAATTTTGATGATGTCCGTATCCTCATATATTCTCAAGGCCCACCAACCATCCCACAAAATCCCACTCTTCCCATTGACCTCTCTTGAGCCTTCCATTCAGATGCCAGCCCCAAAGAAACAGAGCCCGGGCTAAGCTGAGGCTAAGCTGAGACCACAGTGGGCATCCTGGTCCCCTTTCCAAGAGCCCAAACGGCCTAAGGGAGGTTCGAGAGGAGGGTGGCAGCAGCCTCCCAGGCCAGAGTTCAGCTGGCTGCCACGCCACACTCTGCAGTTACTGCTGTGGCTGACTGGGCACTCTGCCAGGGCTGGGGTGAGGAGGCAGCTGACCTCAGGCCTGGGAATGCTGTCCTGCTGGCCGGGCATCTGCAAGTTATGCCAAACCAGACATTTGATCCACTGACCTCTCTGGGCATGATACCAGGCAGCCCATGTTGTTGGCCACATCACTCACTCATCAAGGCCCTTCGTGCCATTAATCCAGAAAGACAGACCATTAGACATCAGAGAAATGCAGCCAGTCATAGCACCAAACGCACAGTGTAAAGGCTCAGACACCTCAGGGCTGAGTTGGGCTCATGTGGAGGCACAAAAGAAGGTCAGCTTGGCTCAGTCCAGCCAGACACAGCTGGGTTCCACCACCTCAGCATGACTCGGCACATTCGGGGGTTTCTGGTCGTGTCCTCCAGCTTACCAGGGACACACTGCAGGGGGTACAGTCTGTCTTGGCCCCCCTGAGTCACACGATGAGGAAGCAAAACAACCGGACCACCCAGGAAGCATCCACACTTCAAAATCTCCAGGACAATTGTTTTTGGAACAAGTAAAAGATGTTAGTGTTTTCAATTCATAGTAAGATCCAAATGCATTCCTTCTTTCATCTAACAACACCCAGGTCTAAGCAAACATTAGAGTTTCCAAACAGGGCCGGCCAAGCCTGGCTCCTGAGCTAACACTGACCATTCCACACCCACGGCGGACACCAATCATCAACCACAGCACTCTTGCACTAAGCTTTGGGAGCAGCGTGAGGTAGCCACTCACCGTTGGCTGTTTGGCACAGAAGATGAAACCCATTTGCTACCCTTGATATGACACTTAAGCCAGAGTGGATATGGCCTCATTCTACCCAACTCCGAAGCAGCAAACACACTCAGCCTCTCGTTCTTAGCTCTGAGCAGAAACCAGCTGTCTCAGTTACACAGCTGCTGGCCTCATGATGTCATCACCCATGACCTGCTGCAATGTGGCAGGTACTTTCACAAACACTGCCCACACCATGGCCACACACAGCTCCTCAGAGCCTGGTCCTAGCGTGCCCCAGGACACTGACAGCCACCTCAGGAATGTGGAGGCCACCCTCCCAGCCCAGCCTGGATTTCAGAAAGCCATCTCTCTCCCCCATAGTAGATGCTTCCAGGGTAAAATAGTCAGCTGCCAGGAGATGTGGAGGTGCAGGCACAAGCCTGAACTCAAAGCAGACCTGGATTTATGGACTGACTGTGGGGCCAGAGAACAAGTGACTGTGCGCAGGGGTCAAGGCCATCTCTGTCCAGACAGCTCGGTAACCCCAGAGAGACAGGGAACCCTGAGGATGGGCTCTGGTATGTAACACAGCCCCACAAGGACTCTCCCACATTGGGCTATAGAGCAGCTGATTGGCCCATGAATACCCACTGGGCCCCACTTCAGAAACCAACAGTGTGGGAACCAGTGCTGTCAGCAAGGCCACCTCAGCCTCAGGCAACAGGAAGCCGTCAGGCCCAGAGCATACGCATACAGAGGGCAGGGCTGCATTGAGCTTGGACATTCATCTGGGCCGGTGCTGGACATGTAGGTGCATCTGGGCAGGGCTGAGAGGAGCTGGAAGAGTCACGGGCACCTATCTGTATGAACCTAAGGTTCATAGAGAAGGAACAAACGGTGCTTGAAGGCAAAAATGCCAGGGAGGTGGTGTCTACGTACATCCTTCCACCTCTGTCTGGAAATCCTCAAACACTTCCAGAAGCCTCCCAGCCCAGGAGCTGAAGCCAAGCTCTCATTTCTTAAGGATCCCATTCAAGTGGGAGTCCATGCAGGCTCCATGAAGCTTCACAGACAGGACCTTCCATCTCCCTTTGCTGAGTGCTGCCCACCTGAGCTGGGCTTTCCCAGAAGAGCCATATCCTCCCTGGGCCCCTCTACCTTATCGAAGCAGACCCAGGGAGGGGAGTCCCAGAGGTCCCATCTGGAACAGAGGCCCCTACGGAGGTGAGGACCTTACTGTGACTCAGGTGTGGCCATTCCTCTCCAGGCATACAGCTTAATCCCCACCTTTCCCCATGAGCTTCTCTCCCAGCTCATTACCAAACCCCTGCCATCACCCTGCTTCCTCTGAGAAACCCCTTGCATAATTCAGAACCCCCACACACCTCTGCAGCCTTCCTCCCTCCACAGCCCACCACTACTCTCTCCGACACCTGAGTTCCAGCCACACTTCTCTGTTTGCAGTTATGCCAGCACAGAACTGAGTCTCTCTCCTTTAAGACCACTCGCTCCCTCCTGATATGTGCATATGTTGTTAACTCTGCCTGGAACGCGATCATTTCATCCCTCTACCCCACCCATCCTCTTCCTAGCTAAATCCTATTCTATAAATCAGCTCAGTTCCAGCCTCTTCCAAAAGCCACTCCTGTCACAACACTTGGAACTTCTTGCAGATAGGAAGTGACTCTTGTTCAACATCAAATGCCCCATGCTTAGCACTTGCTTCACTGTATATTAATTAAATGGAAGAAAATGGAAAAGCCAGAAATTTAGACATTTGCCACTTGAGTCCTGCCCAACCTCTCTCATCCAGAGAGGGAGCACACACTTTTCTTTAAATACACCTGATCTGAAAGGAAGCAAAATTTCAAACTCCTAAGTCCAAAGAGGTCTTAACATCCTTTTCTCTCCATGATGAATTTAATATGTCCTTTACCTTAAAAATAACCTGGACTCAACTCATGACTGATGAATAGGTCATGCCTGTTTTCCAAGGAAGAGAACTGATTCCGACAGATATACAACATGGGTACCAAGAGCCATCTGGGGCATGATGACTCACAGAAGGCAATGTACTGGTCTTCCTTCTGCACATACACATCACCTGCTCTGGCCACGGAAGGCCACACAAGGGGGCCAGCCCCAGACCAGCTCAGGGCATCCCTGTATGTTGGAAGGCAATGGAGAGGGGTCTAAGCATTGGCCGAGGAACGCACCTTTCTCACATTATAGAAGTCTCGGTGGGGGTTACTCTTCAACTCTTTGAACTCAGACATCTCATTTAACATCTCGTGAAGGCTGAACTTGGATTCCAGAAAGTTCAATCGCCGGTGACAATATGTCTTCCTGCAGGTTGGAAAGGGAGAGAAACCATAGTTGAGAAGTCTCGTCGACCTCTCTGGTTTGGAGACCTCCAGGGTTTGCAGGGACCGATCCTCGAGTGGAAACGTCAGGATGGAGCGGGGAGGGGGGAGGTTCCAGCTCTCTACAGACCCAGCTGAAGGAGCTGAGTAAGCACATTCGTGTGCTCTGAAATAAGTAAGCAGCTGATACAGGGCAGTAGAGCTGACTTTGCAACCTCATATGGGTTCTTTGACTTCTAGCTCTATGTCCTTAGGCAATTGATCTTGAACCTCTATTTCCCATGAACAAGTAAAAAGCTGGCAATGCCCAGGATTAATGGGAGGGTGAAACTGGTTTATGCATGTGAAGTGGATTCTCAATAAGTCTCCCTCCTTGACTACTTCCTTTTCTTTTCCGCCCATCTATCCTCAGCCACCTTTAATTCTTTGAAAGGAGTTTAACTTCTTCCTAGGAGATTGGTCATACAGTCAAACTCTCACGCATGACCTGCCCACCTTGGCCTGCTCCCAACCCGAGACCCAAGGACCTCTCAGCTCTGAGGTTCATTGTGGGCAGATGAGGAATGTAGAGATGTCTGTTATTAGGAGAGAAATCTCTACTCTGACTGATGCCCCCACCGGTTGACAATTTAAAAAGCCATTAGGGGTGAATGGGGGAGCCCACTGCTCAAGGCCAGTTGCCAGCCCACACGCCTGGCCACACGCCTGTGCCCATAGCCACACGGAACCTCAGCCACAGTTCATGCCACATGCTTCCTGTGCCCCCCCCCCCCCAAACAGCAGCTCCTTTAGCACGCAATTACTCAGACTTTCATAAAGAGCAGCTGTGCATGGTCATCTGCCAGTCAAGATGAGCCCCAGAGAGGAGCACAGGAGTGTCTCAGGTCACCAGAGATTTCAAAGATCATCTCACGCAGTCCCTCTCTCTCCCCAGTAGGATTCACCTTCACAGCCTCCCAGACAGGACAGCCACACCCCTTGACCCCCTTCCCCTCTCTCCCAAGGCTTTCCCTCAAAACTCCTCACTTTGGCTGAGGTGAGCCTCCCAGGAACTGTCCCTCCCTCTTCCAGGTCTTATCTGCCCTCAGATCAATAAGGATCAAGAGCCACCTGCCCACCCCCCTCGGGGCCCACTCTCCTCCCTTGAAGACTGGCCTCACACTCATGCCCAGTAAAACCCAAAAGACAGGGCAAGAAAGAAGTTCCTCAGTGGTGACCAGCACCCTCTCCCTCCCCTGGGCACACCCAGCACAGCCACCCAGGGTCCAGTCATGCTGCACTTCCATTGCTGATAGCTGAAGTGCTCACCAAGAAGTGAGGGGCCAAAGTCAAGAAGACAAAAGCCTGCCAAGTTAACAAGAGCCAAGCCCACAAGCATCATGGGGGTTGTGGCATAAAATTCCCAGGCTCCCTGCACTCTCCCCTCCAGAATCACAGAAAACCCAACACCTGAAGCAACAGCCTTGATGGCTCCTCCACCATCTACAGGAATGCCCTGGGCTGGTGACTGTGCAGGCAGTCATCATGCCTGGGAAGAAGAGTGACAGCCATTCTCAGGTGCAAACAGAAGCCCACACCTACGTATGCAGGACAGGAAATACCAACTCTAATACCCCAGCCTGGAATGAACTGTTGCAAAAACCCACAGGGCACAGGGCTCAGGGCAGAGGGGAAACCACTCTCTTTCTAGGGTAGTTTAAGTGCGAGAAAACCCAGAGCAAAGGGGTGACTTAGATGGCTTTTCCCAGCCCTCTCCCTACAGAATAGCACCCCCGCAAGGAGAGGCAGACTGGGGGCCACCGGCTTACGTGGGGCCATCGGTGATGAGGGCCAGGATGTGGCTCATGTCCACCGTGTAGGTCTCCAGGTCGGGGTAGGGCAGGCTGTGGGGCTCCTGGCTCTCCAGCATCTTCTCGTCGTCGTACACGAAGAGGATGCCCCCCTGCATGCGGACCAGGTAGCCCAGGTTGGGGGGAGTGTTATCTGTACAGTAAGGGTCTTCCTGGGGCAGCGGGGGAGGGTGGAAGTCTGCAAAACAGGATTGAGTGATGGCAAAGTGCCCTTGACCTCGTGAGCTCACGTGGCCTCCAAAGGCACATTTTCAGTGAGGCTTGTTCTGGTCATCCCATATAAAAATCATTTCCTTCCCTCCCTCCACGAATCCCCCACCCAGATATCTCACACCCCCTTCCCGGCTTGACTTTGTTTCCTTAGCACCTACTATTAAGTGAAATAAGTTCACTCCGTTATCCTGGGTGGGACATGTTTTCTGGTTTGCTTCTGCACCCCCATTTCCTATTAGAATAATCCCTGGGATGTGGTTGGCAAGTTTTTAAAATTTAACTGAAATGAGCCGAAGCCTCCTGAGCACTTTAGGGCCACCAGGGGCACTAAAAAGGGCAGCTCTGTCCTCTCCTAAGAACAGATAGCACCGGTAGGCACAACTATCCCTGTTCTCCCATGGCTTTCTGAGCCCAGGGCAGCCGAGGGGCTAAGCCGGCCCCACACCCAGATGAGCACAGAAAAAGGCTGGTCTCCCATGGAGCAAGGAATGCCAACCGCTATGGGTTGAGTTAGCCCATGGTGGGCAGAAAACTACTCTTGGCTATTGCCCAGCTATGGGACATTGGGCAAACCACTTTACCTCCTATCCTGTCTGCTCATCTGAGGATTACACACCCTGCCTTAACACCCCATCGTGAGGGCTGCAAGCGTGGGTGTAGGAAAATGCTTTGTAAATAGCAATGCCCGACATGTAAGTTACTGGGCATTATTCTCATAATGACTTCTCCTGATTCTTGCTAAGCTCTGTCTCTGGCCAAGAAACAGGTTATGCTTTAAAGCAGTGGGACTGGGGGCTTCTGCTCTGCTAACATGTGCCAGTGGCCTGTGAGATGCCAGCAGTACAAAGGCCTGAGAGAAGCCACAGCTCCACCCACCACACTCATGCCAGGACCCCTGGGTGCTCTGCTCTGCAGAAAGTAACCATTTGACAGTCATTCCTGCCAGCCTTTGCCAAGAATGGGGCAGGTGGGATCAACTTCCCTCAGACAAACAGGGAAGTGGGTGAGAAGGGCTGAGATTTACCCAGGGCCCCTGGTGGTAACAGATACTCAAAGTCCAGGTCTCAGAGCTTCAAGGAGGCCAGAAATGGCACCAACTACACCCAGGGGGCAGCCTGGGTGTTGCGCACTGGCACAGACCATCAGCCCTTACCGGATCCCCCACCACCACCTTTCAATATGGAGGTTTCCTGTGGTGCTCGTTCATCTTATAGTTTCTACTGCTACTGGGTCTTCCCCTGGCCAAACAGAGCCCACCAGAAATGATCCTGCCCTCAACCCCACTGCATAAACCAGCTTCCATTTACTGAACACTCACTGGATTCCAGAACTGTACTCACTGCTTCACATTCATTCCTTCATGCAATCCTCTCAGCAGGCCCAGGTGACAGGTAATATTAATATTCCCATTTTACAGACTGGGAAACTGAGGTTTGGAGAAATCTTTGCCCAAGAAAGTGGCAAAGCTTAGATCAGAATACAGGTATGTTTAACCCCCTATCCTCCCCTATCCTATCCCGGAACATGCCTCCTATACTTAAATCCCACCCCATGTCTGATCATGTTTTTTAAAATACCCCACATGAGACTGCCTGTCTCCCTGGAAAACTCCCAAGATCCAGACTTTCATCTCTCTCCTAACTTCCAGAGCTCAGTTCTGTGGGGGTGAAGCTGGCACCCTGCCCTTACAACACCGTCCGGGGGAAATACATCCAGCCAGGAAAAAGCCCCACCAACTCTTGGACCATGTCCACTTGGAGCCCCACCTGCAGCCACCGCACTGTACCTGGGAGGCCCTCCCCCGGAGATGCTGTGTCCACCTGTGAATGACCCAAGTACTGAGCGGTGGTCCGTGGGAAACGGTGGTAGGCAAGCCGGGCATACTTCTCCCGGATCATCAGCGCCTTGGCCAGGCTCTTGGCAGCCTGCTCATAGTCTTCCACGGTGATCTGCGGAGGAAGATGTACAGAAAGAGTGCATGTGGCCGGCCTGAGATCGCTGTCCTTAGCAAGATCTGCTGCAAGGCTGGCCCTCGGCTGACAGCTGGGAGCTTGGGTTCCCGGAGCATTCCCACCACTCCCTGACTTGTAAGAGTGGCTCATTGTGCCTATGCTGCTTGCACCAACAAGTGTATGCCAAACACCTGGTTTCCTTCTTGGAATCTGGAATGTGGGGACGTGCTGTGCAGATGTGAGACTTGCCTCAATAAAAGCCTTGGGCACTGAGCCTCTCATGAGCTTCCGTGATAGATGACACATCACACATGTTGCCATCCTCCAAACTAAGTGTGTTATGGTGACTCCACTGGGAGAGGACTTCCCCTAGACTCTGTCCTGGGGACCTGCCCCCTGGACTGGTTTTGCTCTGTATCCTTTCACTGTAATAAATCCTAGTCAGAGCACAGCTATGTGCTGAGCCCTAGGAGTCCTAGCAGATCCCTGACCTGGGGACAGTCTCAAGGGCCCACACAGGAGGAGAGTTAGGTAGGGAGGCAGGTACCCTGGCCTGCACACCGCCGGCCAGCCCCTCCAGTGCTGCTGATTAAAGCACAGGCCTAAGGCTGCACCCAGCAAACAGAGGCAAAGCCTGGACCTCGTCCCTCATGAGGGTGAGCATCACCACTCTCAGCTGATGGTCCTTTGGATAATAGGATAATAAAAATGTCTGCATGCTCACTTTGCTGCTTTGCCGCCCCCGGGCTCTGATTCATCGGCACCCACCCAAATTCACCCAGCCACAAGCACTTAGGGACAGGTGTTGTGTGCTAGACCCTCTCCATAGATTTTATTGGATCCTCACTGCAACCTGTTTTACAGATTGGGGAATCGAAGTCCAGCGAGGATAAAACACCTGCCAGGAAGTCACAATATCAAACCGCAGAGCCTGATCTGACTGATTCCCACAGCCCAGAGATGTTCTGCATTCCCAGAGCTGCCTCGTGTTCAAAGACAAATGAGATTAACTCCCACCTTCCAGCGGGCCCCTCAGTCTTAGTCAATTTGAGAAGGATGTGTGGGGCAGAGTCTGAAAGTGCTCGGGAGACGAGCAGCTAAACTGTCATAACAGCGGATATGTGACGCAGCCAGGGGCGGATAAGATGTGGGGGAGAGGAATGGGGGAGGGCTGAGGTGTGAAAGTGTCCTCCTCTGCTTTAATTATAAAAATCACTTCAGTTTTGAAACATTTTAAACCTACAAACAAGCACTGGCAGACACCCAGAGCTAACCATTTTAATATTTTTTTCATCAAGATCTCTTATAGGTTTGAATAAATCAATCATCATACATGCAGCTAAAACTCCACTCTCCACCCTCCCTCCCACCCCCAACCTGCTTGGTCCTCAGAGGACCAAAACTGGTATATCTTTTCCACACACGTTTTTATCCTTTTACTAAATATTACCCCTTGCTTTTGGCTAAGGAAGTAGCTTCTCCTTTCCTGACTCCAAGTGTCCCCAGGAAGGTGTTAATTCCATTTTAGCCCTTCCGGATGGCTTCTGAGAGCAACAGAAATAAATAGGTGAGCAGACACAACACCCAAAGGCAAACACGCTGTCTGCTGAACCAATGGACCCAGCACAGCCAGGGGCCCAGGCCACAGCTGACGATGTCAGATGGGTGCTCAGGGGACCAGTAGGCACCGCAGGCCTCATGCCTGACATCAGACCCACGGGGGCCAAGGAGATCTGCAAGGTCAACCTGTCTGACACAGACCTGTAGCTCTCTAGGACCAACTGCCCAGTTCAGGAGCTCCGTGCCCTATGACATGCCAGCCAGGAGACTGACTGAAAGAAGCTAGTTAGTGCCCCAGGCCAATGTCCTTCCATTCAGCTAGCTGTCAGCCCAGCTCAACTCTCCCTTTCCACTGCTCTGCCCACAGGCCAGAGGCTGGAGGGACCCCAAGAGCAGGAAGCTGCATCTTCAGACAAGGCCTGCATTACTTCCAAACATGGGCACTTAAAAATTCCCATCCATGGGCACTTAAATAAGATAGCAGACATCCGCACAGTGGAATACTATGCATTCGTTAAAAAGAACAAGAAAGTTCTTTAATGATATGGCATTATCTCCAAGAGATACTGTTAAGTGAAAAAAAGCGAGGCTCAGTTATGTCATGTGTATAGTAAACTACCGTTTGTGTACAAATAAACAAACCATGTGTATATAATTAATTGCAGGTACGCAGGCCAGCTATGTGAGAACACGTAAAAAACCAAGCCAAGGGCTGCCTCTGAGAAAGGGAACTAGGTTCTGGAGAACTATATAGTTTTTGTTTCTTTCATATTTTGTACCATATGCAAGGATTCTCTAGTGCCCATAAAATAAGGTATGTTGTATGGCTAGGGGAAAATGTGTAATAGTCATAAGCCACCCTGCTTTCTCTGATATATTCTAAAACTACCATGAAAAAGGAAAGAGAAAGATAATAACACAGTAAATGAGGCACAAGTAGTAGGTTGAGGGCCAGGTAGATAGGACCAAACTTTACCCTTCCACTAGCTTTAGTGATATTTCTCTTTCGGAGTGAGCAATAAAAATGCATCCTCCTACAAGTGAAATGCACACATTTTCAGTGACTGAGTTAACTGACTTGATGTGTACATCAGCTCATTCACTTCCTCATTGACACCCTCTCTTCCTGGCTGGAGGGCTAACCTATATCTAAAGATGTTGAGAGAGCCAAATCAGCAAACCAATCCACAACAGGACTTTGAATCCATTCAATATCTGGGAACACTAGCCAAAACCGGTTTGCCTCAGTGGATAGAGCATCTGCCTGCGGACTGAAAGGTTCCAGGTTTGATTCCAGTCAAGGGCATGTACCTTGGTTGCGGGCACATCTCCAGTAGGGAGTGTGTAGGAGGCAGCTGATTGATATTTCTTTCTCATCGATGTTTCTCTCTATCCCTCTCTCTTCCTCTTTGTAAAAAAAAAAATCAATAAAATGTATTTTTTTAAAAATATCTGGGAACACTAAAGGGGGCAGAAAACACAGGGAACTGATAGGCCATGGGCACAGCATGCCGGCTCACAGCCCCAGGCCCTCCTCACAGGAATGGACAGCACCCTAGACACCCATACCCCACAACCTCTGCAGGACCCTCCTTTTCTAATTCGTATACCTCCTGCCCACTCCAGACACCTACAGACTGGGCCAGGCTTCAGGGCTGGACATAACCCAATGGTCCAACGGGCTCTGGCCTCTGCACAAGGCACATATCACCCTCACACAGCGCCAAGGGGAATCCACGGAGAGGGAGAGAGGAAGACACCTTACCCCGGCACAGTAATCTCCGCTGATGGTTACCCGCTGGTACTCGGGCATACAGAAAGGTGCTGGCGCGAGCGGGCAAGTGGCTCCAGGGAGCACAGGTGTTGCAGGAGTCATGGCTGGAGTGGTGGTCGGGGGGCCCTTCCAATCTGGCTGCGTTGGCATTTGCAGAGACAGGGACTGGGATCGAATCATCTTGAAACTTTTCTTTCTAAAGCCAAGCACAAGGAAAAGTGGGAGACATCATCAGTAGCTAATTGGGGCAAATGATAGAGTCTTGTTATACCGGTGGCAGGAGAATTTTACTCTGATTAATCACTGGTGCTAGCCTTACTGTTAAGATCTAATTAGTTATACTTTCCTCTTAAACACACCTGCTCAAGATACAGAACAGCCATCCAGACACCCATCACTGTGGTCACTAAGAACGGTCATGGGCTGTTTGCTCTGTTAAGAGGAGGACAGACCATCCTGCAGGGGACTAACCACGAGGACAGAGGGGGAAGGACAATGCCAAGTCAACCAGCATGCTGTTTTCAGACAACCCAAAGTCTAAGTCCCAGCATCTGACAGTCTCAGGAAGGACTATGAGCAGGGTCACAGAGAAAAGTGACAGTTTCCTGGAGTTGGAAATTTGGAGAATTGGTGCCAGAAGACATCAAGACCGTGGACCAGTCACATCTTTTTGTTTCATAAAATAAAAGTCAGGGACCCAGAGATGGGAGAGGGCTTACTCAAAGTCACGAGGCAAGGTGGCAGCTAGCCCTGGACTTCCTCCCTCCCTGGTTCTTGCTCTACCCCGTTCCCCTGCTGCTCCTCCCTCGAGGCTGCCATGTGCCTTCCTAGCTGCTTCTGCCTGGCAGGCACAGACCTGAGTCTCCGTTATGGAAAACTGATTCATCAGCATCAATTTCAGGTCCCTCTGGGCCTGTCACGTTGGCACCGATAGATGATTTCACAAACCCTTGGAGAAGTGGGCACAGCAAGGTCAGTTTAAAATGCTACATCTCACTCGCACACCCAACATGGCTCAGTGGTTGAGCATCAACCTATTCACCAGGAACTCATGCCAGGGTTGTGGGCTCAATCCCCAGTGTGGGACATGCAGGAGGCAGCCAATCAATGATTCTCTCTCATCATCAATGTTTCTATCTCACGCTCACTCTCTGAAATCAACTAAAAATATATATATTTTACATCTCATGCTTATTTGCAATGCTGATTTGTGAATACTCACCTTCCTCATTAACTAAATAGTAATGTTTCCAATGGCATCACCCTAAGTCTTAGGATCCCAGGAAGGGAATTAACAGCAGTGGGGTGAGGCCCTGAACACTCTGCTCTCTCTGGTCTCTCTCGGCCTCCAGTGGAGCCCAGCCCCTTAGCATTGCCACCCCGTGGTGTCAGAACCTACAGCCACCAGCAAAGGACAGGGTGACAACCAGGACCCTCCGGAGTCCACAGAACCCCCCCTCTTCTCTAGGCACCAATGACACCTATAGGGTATGGAGAAATCGGTTAATCTCTAAACGAGTCTCATGGCTCACAGGAAGCAGCTGACTTCCTCTTGGCTCTTGGCCAGATTTCCTCACAGACCCTCTGGTGACTTTTTAGGAACCACAGTTCCTCCCCTTGTGTACACACCCACCACTTGCCATGGCTTGCTGGTACTCATCACCTCTGTGGGGACAGGCTGTTTACACCCGAAAAGTGGTGTAAACAGAGTCCATCTTTGCCCAGCCCCTGGCCCTGCATAGCAGGTGCACTGTGTTGTTTGGGAAACTCAGCCTGAAGGAACGCCAAGAGTCTCGGCCCAGGCCTCCCCAGCCTGCCACCCATTCATCACACAGAGCTGAGCTGAGGACGATGCCAGTTCATGTCAGTCCATCATCACCCTGAGTAATGAGGTTCTCACTTTGGCATTGTTTGGACATTCGCATGGAGAGGAAGAGCCATGCCTTGGGCTCTCTCTCACATTCTGACAGGCTCCCTCGAGTCCCGTGAGACTGGCTTCAGTGTCACTCACATGCCTGCCAGGTCACTGCTGTTAATCTCTAAGCCAAGTGCCACACATGCTTCAGCCAGTGCCACCTGATGGCTGGTCCAGCCAAGGAGAAGCAAGGTGATGTGTAAGGTAAGAACAATAAAAAAGCACCCCATGATCGGAGAGCCAGGAGGCTGGCTAAGCCAACACCCCACCAGGCTTGTCCTAGAAATGTCCACGTCCTTCTGCCCATTGAGGAAGCCAGTGTCCACATGCGAGCATCCAAAGAATTCTCCTTCTTGAAGACGTCCATTATGGCTCCAGCCTTGGTCTTCAGGTGAGACCCAGATGTCACATGTGAAATCCATGGGCTGGAGTACAGACTTTGCAGACACAAAGTTTACCACCAGATGGGTCAACTCCTCCTCAGGGCCCACTCACCTTAGGAAAGGGCTTGGAGTAACTGGAGCTAACCACTAAGTTTGTGCTCAGATAACTGGGAAAGCCCAATGGAGTCCATGGAGAGGGCCCGGTGTTCATGTTCTCTTGCTATGTGACAAGTTGCCACAGCCAGATGGCTTCAACAACACACAACACAGGTCTACAGCTGAGAAGTCTGGGTGGGCATGCCTGGGCTCAATGCTCAGGGTATCAAAGGACAAAATCAAGATGATGGTCACACTGAGCTCCTATCAGGAGACTCCAGAAGGAGACCCACTCCCAAGCTCATTTAGGGCAGTGGTCGGCAAACTCATTATTCAACAGAGCAAATATCAACAGTACAACAATTGAAATTTCTTTTGAGAGCCAAATTTTTTAAAATTAAATTTCTTCTAGCGCCACTTCTTCAAAATAGATTCACCCAGGCCGTGGTATTTTGTGGAAGAGCCACACTCAAGGGGCCAAAGAGCCGCATATGGCTTGAGAGCCGAAGTTTGCCGACCACAGATTTAGGGTATTGGCAGAATCCAGTTCCGTGGGACTACAGACAGAGGCTCCTAGTTCCTTGCTGGCTCCTGGGCAGGTGTCACCCGCTTTCTTGCACACAGACATCCTCCATCTTCAGAGCCAGACATGACCTTGGTTCTGGTGCTTCGAATCTCTGACTCCCCCATCTACGACCAGCCTGTGATGCCCACCTGGTCATGTCCCTACCTTCAGGCCCACTGTGCACACACCATAGCATAATCACAGGAGTGATGTTTCATGATACTCAAAGGGTCTAGAGATTAGGGAGGGACATCATAAGCCCATATCTCGTGTCCATTCCATACAACTGAGGCTCAGCCAACAAAAATGAGAGCAGTAGCTGTGTGTGTGTGGGTGTGTGTGTATGCGCACGCACACACATCCTTCTGTCCCTCTCAAGACTACCTGAAGCTCCCCATATGTGTCACAACAATAAAGGCTTACCATAACTGTTCTGTGAATTTTAGAACCATAGGGGTCTCCTAACTGGAAAGGACTTTAAAGATAATACACTCCAACCATTTCACAAAGGAGCTTTTGCTTGAATATCTCCAGTGACAGAGAGCTCACTACATTTCTGAGTAATCCATCAGCATTCAATCGTATTCAAAAAGCCATTTGCCAAGCACCTGCTCTGGGCCAGGCCACTGTTCGGCACATAAACACAAGGTAAACAAAGCACGACCCATTGCCATTTGTTAGAAAGCACTTCCTTATGATGGGCCAAGATCTGTCTGTCCACAGGCGCACCTGCTGCACCTCGGGCTACCCCTGGGGCACCAGAGGAAGCCAGCTTGCTTTGCCACAGCTGGCACACCCCCTCCTTCCCTGCCCACATGTCCCCCTGGCAGATACACACGTCTGCCAAAAATCTGGTGGGGAGAGAGCCCACAGGCCAGTAAGAAGCTTTGTCCTCCTGGGCCACAGGGACCTTCTTGCCTGACCAGCTTGTCTCTCTGTTATTCTGACATCTGCACCAGCATGCTCTAGGGCCCTTGGCTGCCTCTGCCATTCATGTTGTCCCAACCCTTCCCCTGCCTCACTCCCCAGCCCTCCTCAGCTCCTGGGAACCAGATGCCCCAGAATCTTTGGTCATAACCTTTGACTGATTTATATGCTAAGCCCAAGGTAAAAACCAGGGCCCCTCTTGCTCTTCTAGAGAACAGCTGGCATCTTCCCAGGGGCCTTTGCAGCCCACCGCCCTGTGCAGTCTGCTAGGCAGGGAGCAGCACTAGAGCAAACCTTTCCCCAAAGGCTCTCGATTATGTAGGACCCTTCTCCAATGAATAATCTACCGTGTGCCAGACCCTGGGGGTAGTCGGAATGATGACATATATCCCCTGACTCCAGGGGCTGATTGGTAATGGTACTGATGATTGACAGTTCAACGGACTGTTCTCATTGTCATAGGTGAGGGCTGGTTCTCTCACAAGTCATAGGTGAGGGCTGGTTCTCTCACAAGTGGTGAGAAACTCTTGGTTGCTGGAGATCCCAAGGGAGACACCTGATCCAGACTGGGGGCAGATGCAGCAGAGCAGCAGGTCAGAGAAGACTCCCTGCATCACTTCCTTGTGAGAGAACCAGCCCTCACCTATGACTGTTCCTGCTCCTACCTCCCTCCTGACCACGGGCAGGTCTCCACTCACCTGCCTCCTCCCTAGCTCCCCTTTGCCAGGCCTTCCCAGCTGCCCTTCTCCAGAAAGATCCCAGAGGTCAAAATGAAGTACAATCTTTACTACCTTTTAAATTAAGTTTTAAATGCTCCATTCTCAACTTGAAAAGCAGATGAATTGGCTGTTTCAAATGAAGCTCCTTTGTCAATGGCCATGAATGAACAAGCTACCTCCCCCCGACTGAAGACGTTTCATAAAATAAAATGATGTAACAGCACTTTCTCTGGGCTACCCTCAGTTCATAACAAGTATCTCTTTATCTGCTTTACTCAGTACATTCTTGAGGAAGTTGCTGTTTTGGAGACATTTTTCAGGTCAAGTCTGTCCCCTAATTTTTAAAAATACCAACTTTGGTGTGGCTTTTTGCAATGGAAATCATACTCCTGGGTCTTGGTCAGAGCGTGCTGCACATAATCTAAAGTTTTCTCAGGGACTCAGGGTCATCATTGTACGATCTAGTCACCATCTTCGAGGCGTGTTGCTCTGAGACTGCAGTGCTTCTAATCCTTCATCTGCCTTTCACAATTATTCCGTTTCCTCCCTCACTGTTGCCTGTCTAACTCTAACAATAACAAAAAACAGGAA